AATTCATCAAGCAATTCTTGAAGCTCAAAAACATGCTGACTCAACAGGTGACGAGACTAGCCACGAAGGACGAAGATTCTAGACCCAGGCTAATGAAGATAACTTTCCCATCCTTCCATATGGCGTCTGCAACTCTGGAAGACCTCGGTTGCCAACTGGAATCCATATACATCCGGATAGGCCACATTACACCAGGATCAAGCACAAAAGCAAGTTTGAGCTGACCATTCCATTTGTGGTCTGTCTCGGTCACAAAAACGCACGTAAAGTACAGGGGCTACCAACTCGGAAAACAATGTATAGGTAGGCTATCTGTCCATTCACGTAAGGCTCATACAGATAAACGGCAAGAAGCTCACGCGTTTCAAATAGAAAGCAAAAACTGCTAATAAATGGACGCCGCGAGTTTACCAAAAAAGGGATTAGCTACGTGAACTTAGCAACGCTAATAATCTCCATCTGATAGGAATATCTGAAACTTGAATATATTCTCAGTTTACGGATTAGGAGCTAGCAATACCTGGGATGTCTTTGCTTCGTAACGACAGAACAACAGGAATTGGGGGGAGTAGCCTCGTACATACGATCATGCCTAGAGGTACGCCAACTTCACAACCAAGAGTTTCTCAATGTTGATGAATTCGTATGGTGTTCAGTAAGATTATCCACCGCCTCGAGGTGTCTAGTTGGGGTCATCTACAGAAAGCTCACTGCTTACATCGAGCACAACAATCGTATTCTGGAATGATTACCCGCTCTATGCACCTCGGGTTCTCTCATATACTGATTCTAGGGACTTCAATCTTCCTGGTGTTCACTTCGCGGAACATACCTATATTGGGGGTGAAAATCCAACTGAAGCTCGGTTCTTCAACCTCATCAAGAATCTGAGATCATTCGAAAATGTGAAGTCGTCAACTCAATGGAGAAACAGTCATACGCCATCTCCCTTGGACTGGGTATTCACAAATGAAGAATCCCTAGTCGACAACCTCTCGATCCTGGAGCACCTGAGGAAAAGTGAACGCGCTATTATATCCTTCAGTTTTGTCAGTAAAAAACTGAGCTAAGATGTTCTATCAACGACAGGCGCCGGAATTTCAAACGGTTAAACGTGTCAGCTTAACAGGACTATCTACAACATGTGGATTGGGATGTCCACCCTCAACATGAAGTGGATACTCATTAGGATTTTTTTGCACACGCTCTTATGTGCTGCTAATCATTCAGTTACTCAAAAGTTACAAACAACCTATAATCATCAAGAACCGCACTCTTCGTTTGCTACGCCTCAAAACGTACTGTTGGGCAGAATACAAACGAAATGATAACAACAGCGCCTACAAGCAATGTAAACATACAGGGAACATATGCACGAAGGCAATAAGAGAAGACAGGCTTCAGTACCAGAACAAGCTTACCGGTAAAATTGTCTCCAATCAGCAAAGCTTATTCCGTCACGCAGCTTCTCTTCAACAAGCCAAAACTGGAGTTTCTCAACAGCTAGATCCTAATGTTCCGACCAATAACGCCGATGATGCCGCCAAACTTTTGGTTGAACAATACTTTTGGACATTTCAACCTACCCACATCAACTACACTGATGAAAGCCTCATCTGCAACTGCACAGAACTTTCTGAAGTGAACCTGAGCGCGAATCTGGTGTTCGCTAAACTGCAGCACCTAAGAAAACTCACTTCTCCTGGTCCGAATATGGTTCTGTCCGCTATACTGAAGGAAGCAGCTTCAATCCTGGCAATATCGCATTGCGTGATGTTTCCACACTCGCTAAGTCGAGGCAAACTACCTGAAATTTGGAAGCTGACTCACGTCTGACATCTTCCTTTTTGCTGATGATGTGAAACTTTGAAGAGAGATACTGAACAAAAGGGATATACTGGCACTTCATAAGGATCTGAATCGACTTCAAGGTTGGGCAGATGACAACGGACTTACCTTCAACACGTCAAAGTGTAAAATAGTCCATTTACGATATGTTGCAGACCACAGTTGCAACTTAAGAAACTCCTCTCTAAAAGTATCACAAGTTGAAAAAGATTGATGAGTGTTGGTACCCTACGACTTCACGTCGTGCGCTAACTGTGATAAAAATGCCTTTCCAGAAAAAGTTGCACTGGTAACATTGAAGCGCATTTTTGGCTAGTTTGACGGTAGAACTTTCCACATAATCTTACACAGTTTTATTCGTTCCCATTTAGAGTACGGAAACATAATATTTCCGCCCTCTTTCCAAAAGGATAAGGACACTCTGGAACGTGCCCAATGGCGAGCCACGAAATCAGTTCGGGGACTCAAATTCAAACCTTATGAATAGCGCCTCCAATTGCTTAACCTTGAAGATACGACCAGTATTCTAGTTTGACAACTATTAACCAGTAACACCTTCTATATTCAAATCGTCCCCCGACAAGTTAAAATCAGAAGTCAGATGCGAAGAGGTTGGAAAGATATATTTGATACGTTTCCAATATATCAAGAAGCGGTTCTCTAATCTGGCTAGTGAACGAAGGAGATGTGTCCCACGCTGAGTCGTAACGTGATCTGGTGCGGATGAATGACCGAACGCCTTCAGTTAAGCAAGTCCACTTAAACAATGTGGTCAGCATCCAATGTCGAACACTTAATGAACTATTGATTTTGGGGAATTATTTACAGCTACAGATCACTCCCCCCTTGTGAGGTAGTGATAACCCTACGACATAGCCAGCCAGAAGTTTAAACCCAACGAATTTGTCGTTGGTAAATACTCTTCTGTAGCTTGCTATGCTTAGCAGCGTCTGGTAGCTTTTCCTTACACTAAGGGACCGTGAAGTACAACATAGTATTAAGGAAACAAAGTACAATGAGAATTTCGTTTCCTTGTGAAACTTCGTCGTTCTTTTCCAGCCGTCCTGGAAGAGAAAAAAAGAAAGTGTGGGTGCATGTCGAAATACACTCGTACTTGCGTAAGGACACAAGGTGAGCGGAGAAAAAAGTAAATAAACTAATAAGCCTGCGACAGAGTAAAAGCGATTGCAAAAAATTGGTTTTTTGGGTTATTTTTATATAAAAAAATACATATAAGCTCATAAGTGAGGATACAACGGATATTCTAGTTTTGCAACTAGCAACCAGTAGTATCTTCTATAATCGTTCTTTCCCAGTCGAATAGAAAACATTAGTCAGACGAGGAGAGGTAGGAAAGATATATTTGATACGTTATCAATATATCGAGGAACCTTTACTATAAGCTGGCTAATGAACGTAGGAGCTGTGTCCCACGCAGTGTTGCAACGTGATCTGGTACGGATGCATGACCGAAAGCCTTCAGCTAAACAACTTCACTTAAACAACGTGGTCAGCATCCAATGTCGAACACTTAATGAGCTATTGATTTTGGGGAATTATTTACAGCTACATAAATAAGAAAAATTTGGAATAAATATAGAAAAATGAGCATTATTTATCCTTTTTTCGCCTTTATTGGTTGTTTGGGTTATGTAAATACTACTCAAATTATTGTGACAAATCGCGAATCAGTTGATTCAAAACACTAATGAATGCATAACAGTATTAATGTAATTCATGAAATCTTTAATAAAGCATATATGAAACGATTATCAACTATGCAAACAGTAAAGAGGGTGGGACAGCCAGATAGAAGATAGTTTATTTATATGGAAACGTTGAGAGTAACAGTCTACTGCATTGTTAAGAGATTACTGCTTTCTGCCAGTGTTGGGCTGTGATACAATGATAAGTATATCCCAATCAACTGGAAATAATCCCCAGGATGTTGAAATATCTTTAGCAAAAGTAGCAAATAAAAATGCAGTACTCTCCAATCACGTAATCAGAAGAATGGCCTTAAGTCCCGGATACAGTACACTAACCGAACATTGAAGCATTTTAGACAGCCGCAGCTCTGTTTACTAATGGAAATGAATCGTCATACGTTCGGCATTCAAAACCCTAGTTTACTACATGCCAGGAACTCAAAGTTGTTTTCCCGATCCGTATTCCCTAAACGCTTTACTTCAGTTTATTTTATTAAATCCAAGCGCATTTTAGAACTGAATGGATGGGAGTGGAATCAAATCAAGACCATAATGTACCGCAATTTTTAATACTAATCAGTGCATAGCTGGGACGGTTTTGGAACAGAATTGACAATTACTTAGCTGTGACTTGTGAATGAACCATTACAGTAAAGTGACACAAGTCTCAATATGTTCCGCACTTAAGTCCACCGGCACCATCCCCAAAATTATGGTAGTTTGCAAACATTAGGGGACCTTAGTATCAGCCACACGCCACGAGAAACCAAATATGTGAACCAGTATCAGTTTGGCATGTGTCTCGCTAACTGAAATCAGTTTAAGGGCTCCTATTTCGTTAGAAACACAAAGGAACAGTCAGGAAATTCAAAAGGACAGCTTACTGTCATTTTGTGGCTTATGTTTCCTATATCTATCAGAATGAGGGAAAGCCTATGTGACGGAGAAGAGTAAATAGTTCCTATTCTTCACATCTACCTTAGTGGCTACTAGTATTAGTTAATTATCTTAGAGAGGCATTAGCATCATTAATTGAAAAAGTTACATACAGAATAGTTTTCACTTCTTGTTTTTTGAGTTTATTGGCTTTAAAGTAGATTAATTACGATTGTTGTGATAAACCTATATCTTCTTAAAATAAAACTGTCAACTATCATACTGATAATGTTGTTTATAATCTGTAAATAAGAATGGTAGATAGTTTTAAATTTTATAATGCTTCCGTGCAAGTCAGTCAATGAATATTTTATTTCGATTACATACTTAATCTTTCCATTTACATCTAACCTACATACTAGTTTACTCATGTTGAGATAATTGAAAATCTGTTCTCTATATTTACTTCCGCATCCACTCGACTAATGATAATTCTACTTCTATGTTAACTAACTATTACCAACTAGTATCATAGATTCAACTTTTTGCCAGTTGAGAAAATATTAATAATAATTTAGCACTGTTTATTTCATAATTAATAAATCTGTGCTTTAGTACGATTGAACCGACTGAGACAAATTTTTTTAATGAGATGAGCTTCAGAAACGAAAATTTTAAATCACAACATTCAATCGGAACTATTTGGACTTCATAGAACCCAATTAGTTGGACTACAATAATAAATGATTTTCAGCCAACAAAAACAATTTATACACCCGAAAAGTGTGCACTTGGATACATTGAATACTCGTTCAAATAATCACTATTTTTAAAACATCTATAACATTTGCAGAAATAATCAAAAGAAAAAAATAATCACACATTTAGTACATACAAATCAATCTATGGATGATATAGAATATCATATAATCATTGTTATCAAGTAAATGAAATACGAATACGGAATAGCGAAGAGAAGGGCATGTTCACATAAACGCACGGGAGATGTATGGAATGATAAGCACTTTGTACTGAGAATTCTAAATTGTACTATACATTTAATATTGAACAAAGTCAATAGTAATAAACAAAACAATAGGATTTAGTATTAGCTAATCACGAGCTGAGAAATTATCAAGCACTTCCTTTGGCAAACAAGAAACATATGATGGTAACCAATCGGCGACAGGAGTAGCAAGTATGCCTCGAAGATTATCATGTTTAGCATTAAGATCGTAATTGTAAGGTTGTCCAGTTAAATCTGTTAGTATCCCACCAGATGCTCGAAGAACAGCTTCCGGAGCACATGTATCCCACTTTTTAGTACCTTGGCTAGGAAATACATAGACATGAGCACGTCCTTCCAGAAGCACTAGAACTTTGTAACCACACCCCCCTGCGCGAAGAACCTATGAAAAGAAAAAGAAAATATGGAGTTAAAACATGAGGTAGCATAACAAATACTGCACGAGTGTATTTCGGATTTTAAAGATAAAACTTGTGCATAAACTTTCACATTCGAAATAATCAGTTTCATTACTAAAAATGCACGAAATTAGAACGGAACTTGCATCATTAAAAAAGTTTCAAGACACGGTGAATCGAAGCAAGGTTTTGAGCTATGTAAAAGGTGAAAAATTATCGACAGATTCTACCAACAATATATTTACTGAATGGCACAAGATTTTATACAAGACAAACAAAGACCGAGAAGTTGACATTTTGGTAGAAAAGTGAAAAGACGAAGTTGATCTGAAAAATGTTTCGTATTTGGGCTGTACACTTCGAACAATCTGGTCACATATACTTGTCAAGGCATTTTATGTGAAAATTAATAAGGGTCAAATAAATGACAGCTCAAGTAAAAATGTAGTGATTTAAATAAAGAGAAAATCAACATCGAATCGGAAATCATCGCATTACTCTAGGCCATAAAATGACTTAAGGATTACCAGAGCAGAACCGGTTGGTCTTAGCATATCGAACATTTTAGCCCGACTAAAAAGGGATGCTTATTAAGACTATTACGCATAAAATGCCTTTGGAAAAAAACATTGATAAACTGCAAGGTTTTCAAACCAAAACTGCTTACTATCATGTTTTGCTCTTATTTGCACATATGGACCTTTTAATACGTTTTACCAAAATGTACCTTTGGAATTATAATAGGATGACATAACAAATCTAAAATCATTTTTGGATACCGATATAGTTGAACATTTCTAGTCCCCATGGTTTCGGGATATTTTACGGAATTGATAATAATTGGAATATATAAATGTCCTAAACGGAAAACTTAACATATATTGATATTGGTTGACAGTCGTTTTGAGTTCTATATGTTCTTCAAATGCAGGAATGTTGCTTTTGCTTAGTCAATCCATGACTTCACATCTCCATCGGATTCTCCTAGTTTTTCAATGATGCTGACCAGTCAGGCACGTGAAAGTTTCCACCTCTTCCAGAGTTTCTCCATCAAGTGTGATTGGTTTGGTTGATGTTCACTGCGTTGTATTTGAGAATCTCGCTTTTCCCCTTGTGCGTGTTGAGGCCTACGGATGCAGAGGCTGCTACTGCTACATTGGTTGAATTGACCTACATTTGTTGATGTGTATGGGATAGAAGGATCAGGTTATCTGCGAAGTCCAAATCTTCTGACTGATTCCGAGCTGTCCATGGTATTCCGTGTTTCACCTCAGATGTCGAAGTCTCCACAATCCAGTCAATCACTAGAGGAGAAAGGGGGAAAGTAGGTAGCCTTGTCTGACACTGATCCTCACATGGAATGCTTCTATCAGCTATCCTCCATGCACCACTTTGCACTGTAGTCCGTCGTATGAATTTTGGATGACGTTGACGACTTTCTTAGGTACACCATAGTGTCGAAAAAAAATCCATAATGTTCTCCTATCCACACTGTTAAACGCCTTCTCATATTCAAGTTGATGTAGGGTGACGAGTTGCATTCAATTGATTGCTCAACAATGATCCGTAGTGTCGCGATTTGTTCTGTGCACGACCGATCCTTACGAAATCCGGTCTGTTGATCTCGAAGTTGGGCATTTACTGAGTCTTTCATCCGATTCAGCAACACTCTGTTGAAAACTTTTACTAGTACTGACAGTAGTGTGATAGCTCTGTAGTTTCCATATTTGCTCAGACCTCCTTTCTTGGTGATATATCCTTCTTTTCAGTCTGTCACCACTTGTCCTTCCTCCTAAATCCTGATTAGGACATGGAGCATCTTGGCAGTTATCCCTTTGCCTCAACGGGTATGTTGTCAGGTCCTGCTGCTTTCATACTCTTGATTTGTCTGACGACTGGCCACCCTGATTTCTTCGATCGTTGGCAGAGTGACAGCTATAGGAAGGTCTGCAGGTGCTGCTTCGATGTCCCGTGGATTCAATGGAGCCGGCCTATTCAAGAGTTTTTCAAAGTGTTCTGCCCATCTGTTCCTCTGTTCTTGAATCTCAGTGAGTGTCTTGCCCTCTTTGTCGTTGACCGGTCTTTTCGGTTTGCTGTTTCTCTGCTAGTTTCTTCGTTGTGTCATATAGCTGTATCATATATCCTTCTGTTGAAGTTTTTCCGCTATCGTTGCTAGGTCTTCCTCATATTTTCGCTTGTCAGCTTTAACGCTCCTCTTCAATTGCTTGTTTGCTTTTGTGTATTCAGCTTACATTTCGACTATCATTGTTCTTGTTCGACTGTTGTTGAGTGCTATCTTCTTGTTCTTCCTTTCCTGAATATTGTCCAGGGTTTCTATAGAGATCTATTCTTTATGGTGATGCTTCTCGCGGTCCAGAACCTCTTGACACATTGAAGTTAGTGCTTCTTTGATCCGCTTCCAATTACCCACCACAGTAGATTCCTCATCCTTGAGTAGATCTTGTAAAGCTTGGGACCTGTTGTTGAAAGCTATCTTGAATTGGTTGAGTTTGTCAGTGGGTTGGAGAATGCTGGTCGGCGGCCTATGCTCCATTGGGAGTAACAGGCGAAAGTAAGTAAGTAAGTAAGTCAGTCAGTATCTCGATGAAAGACTGTACTGAACATTAGTAATGTTGTTTCTCCATTTGTCCAATGCTTCTTTTACTTCAGTTTCATCTTAGCAACTAACAGGTGATGAGCTGAAGCTATATCAGAACCTCTCCTGGTTCTCACATCTCCCACTGACCTTGTGAAGTTTTTATTGATGTAAATATGATCGATCTAGTTCATTGTAGTGTGATCCGGTGAGACCCATGTAGCTTTATGGGGGCAGGGAATACTGTGCAACCTAAAACAATTTTGTTGACTACACATAAACTTCCAAGCCTTTCGCCATTCCCGTTCATTTCTCCTAGTCAATCCATGTCGTTCCATGCTATCTTCATACCCGGTGTTGTCCAGTCCGACTTTTGCATCTAGATTTCCCATAAGGATTGTCAGGTTCTTACCTAAGCATTTCACTATGATCGATTGCAGTCTCTTGTAGAACTGGTCTTTCTCGTCGTCGTTGCTATGATTGGTGGGCGCACAACATCGGATAGCATTCATTGTGATTCCCTCCTCCTTCGTTTTGAATGATGCTTTGATGATCCTGAATCCATGAGATTCCCGTACTACAAGTGCTTTACGTGCTCCTTTGGATAGCATCAAAGCAACTCTGTGTGGAGCATTTTCCTCTTTGCGACCAGAGTACAGCAGCACCTCTCCTGATTCTAACCTGTTCTGTCCAGTTTGGATCTAATGGGTTTCAATGATTCCGAGCATCGTCAAGTTGTATTTCCTCATTTCCGTTGCTGTTTGACTGGTCCTTTCGGTCTCTCATAGTATCCTACATTTCATTTACCAATAAAAATTATTGCTCTGGTTGTTAGAAGTGGCATCAGCCTAGTGATTTCGGAAGAATCTCGGCTTTCATAATGAGGCATCATAACTCCGAATGAAGATAGTTTAACTACCAGAGCAGAGTTTAGAAGATTATTTGATGTTAAGAGCGATACAAAGCATTTTACACCCACAATTATAGCTGAATATCAAATATTTGAGAACTATGTGATATGTAAAAGAGCTGAATATACCTACACAAGAAATCCAAAAATTTATTGTAACAATACAATCATGCTTACTTCAGTGGGATAGAATGCTCCGTCAACAAAATCATGAGTAAGAGAGCGATGGGATCGAGTAACCACAATAATATGAGGTGAAGTAAGTTTTTGGGCATTTTGGTTGATTGGATATGGCAATTTTGAAGAAGGTAGCCGGGGATTTACGCCAAATACACCCAAACCTACAAGTCCCCAGACGATCCGAGTTGTATATTTCGGATCAGTTGTATTCGCAGTTGGATTGGCTTTGTAAAAAGGTTGAGCGATAACACCACCCACAGGCTTTCCAGCAATCGAAATCCCGATAAGAACTGTAACAAACTCAACAAGGCCCTGGATTCAGAAGAAGCACGTACACAGGAAAAATTAATTTTACTTAAGAGTTCGAAACTATGCATGAACATCTACTGTTATTATATGGTTGTATTTTACGTGATATCATGAATAAAAACCAAATAAATAAACATACTTCAGTAAATTCCTTTGTACCATCCAGCGGATCCACCCAAACTACAATATCATCCAATGAACAATCTTTTAGTTCTGGAGGACATTGGTACTCAAGAACAGTTGAGTTTAATTCAGTGGATCGAGGTAGATTTCCAGGATCCAAATCACCTTCTTCGCCTATTTTTCGAATTATTAGAGTAAACATTAAAAATACCAATAACATGAAGACCTGGGAAGATCTCATTCAAGGATTGTACTATGCACCTCTGAGAATCTCGATCAGCTCTGGATTGCAAATCATCAACTCCTTTGTCTATAATGGCCAAGTCTTTGGAATCATATACCGCACGAATCAAACAACAGGCCTTATCCGCTAGAGATACGGAGGCAGCAAGTATTCTCATAACAAGAGGGGGTCGCATATTTCTTCGAAATGAAAAAAAACATGAATTATAAGCTCATAACCATACTTACAAAATGATACTAAAGAACCAGATTAAATGGTTTATGAAAAAATCTTAAGAGCCAAACACGTCCTGACTGAAGCAAAGCAACACGACGTCTCTGGGGTATATTTAGCGCTGCGAATTACAAACGTATTCATTAGAAAGATAGACTAAGAGCGGTTCCTCATACTTTAAGAGTTAGTCAGTTATAGGCGACGTAGAAACCGGTACATATGTCCATCGGCTTCAGCTGACACTCTTCGTCAGCTCAGAGATGAAATTATCTAAATAAATACTAAAATATCAAAAGTACTAGTATCGCTAGTAAAAAGACGGATAAGACAAATACGACTTGAGAAGGATTACTTTGTATTATAAAACGCATAATGTAATTTTAAAATTCATGATCTATGAGGAAAAAAAAGTACATGCATTTTCACCATTGGGACTGATTCCGAGAAACGTCACTTCAAGTTTTCAAACTTCGGCCACAATAATTGCATGGATTACAACCAGGCAGTTTGCACCTACCAAATTACCTCAGTACAACAGCCAATGACTATGGACTGATACAACGCTTTCAACATATTTCCACGCCAGTCAACATTCAAGTGAACAGTAGTTGGCGATACGTAGTTCTATGATATGCAGGAAATGCTTCAAAAATTCCCAGTCAATACATACCTAAGAACAAGATAAGGAACTGCTACACAATATATCAAACGAAACATTATCTCCAAAATGATACCTACGATAACGTCAAATGGAAGTGTGGATGGTGAGTACGGCAAAAATAGTAATCTGGAGAATACCATAATAAAAACATTTGATAAGTTGGTGTGAACAACTGATTTTGCGAATTTTCGCTAAATTAATGACACTGAGTAAAGCTCTATAAATAAAAAATGAGAGCAACTGTTGAAGGGAATTTAGTGTGTTCAGTAGTGCACAAATAACAGCCAGAATTAATTAGAGATCAATGGTAACGTGTACCATCCTGAACAAATGCAATATCTGACATGGTACGCAGCCCCTTATTAAGTACCACATCGTTGCGACAGGAATCACATGAAATAGCCTAGCTTAAAAAGAAAAGTAAGGTCAGTCAAACACTTTATAAACTTGTTCTGAATATCCGAGTGATTTTCGTAGACGCAATGACCCAGAGGCTGATATTGGCCGAGACTAAAAACCAGTATTGACTGTTGTGCAGTAGTTGCTAAGTGCCTTAGGACGCTTTGAAGGACAAGTAAAGGACTCAGTCAGCTACAACGTAGGATCAGACACATATATGCATCGGTCCAAGTTGCCACATCTCATCAGCACAACAAGATGATCACCAAATTCATAGTAGTTACTTCAATGGTATTGAAATATTAAAGACTGTATGTAAGGATATAATACAGATGGAAATAATTAGTTTATGGAAAGAAATGTACAAAGTAATCCTAATCTCACGGTTTACGGGAAGATAAAGGGTGTATACACCTACGCGATTGTGATCAATTCTGAGTCATGTCACACAGTTTCCAACCATTAGTTATGATAGTCGCACAAACCCCGACCAAGTAGTCTGCATCTACCAACATGGCTAAGACTAGAAGTTAGTGACTTCAAAAACTGATGCCACATTTTGGTTTGGCCACCCCCCAACTTTCTTCCAACTGTCTCCAACACTAGTCAGCATTGCGCGCCGAAATAGTCGGTGGTTAGGCATGAGTTATACGTGGCTCAACCACCTCAGTCGATGACGATCCACAAGCTCATCAACTGATTTACCATTATTCCCTAATACCCTGTGTCTAACTTCATTATTACTTACCCAACGATCCCAGCAGATGCTGGCAATATTTCGGAGACATCTGTGATCACATATTCGTAATTTATGAGTATCCTCTACGCCTAATGGCCACGTCTCGCAGCCGTCATTTAATCGAAAGACAGATATCTCGTCTTCGCCATAGGTGACGTAAGTCGGCAAAAGCCAAACGAGCTTTTTGAATCCGTGCTAAGATTTCGTCAGGAACCAAACACTTAGGGCTTGTGAGACTTCCAAGATAATTGGAGCTGTCGACGCGTCCGGCTACTTGACTCCCTATCCTTAGTTCAGGTGTTGACGCAGGCCAGTTCTGAAGCAACAGTTTTCACTTAGAGGGCGAAAAATGCATATCAAGCATCCTGGCATTGTTGCTCAGTGCTACCAAAACACTGCATTTTATCAGCGTCTTCACCAAACAGGATTATGTCATCTGCGTATTCAAAGTCAATAAGTGGACCTTCTTGTAGGAGGCCAATTCCCGAAAATTCAATCGACGAGAATGTTATTTCCAGCAGTAGGAGCACGACCACATCTGAAGTCAGCCTGAGTTTCTCGTGGTTGCAGTTCACGAGTCTTTAATAGCCGCCCGACAACATTTGAGGCTAGTATTTTAGTTTTTATATTAGTTAAACTAACTCCTCTATGGTTATTACAGGATGATTTCGGCCCGTTCCTATATATTGGGACGACCAGCGATCGCGACCAGTCAGATGGGATTACATTCAGTTCCCAGGTTTTAACTAAAATACTAGTCAACCTTGCTGCTAAAACTGGACCACCATACTCAAAGACCTCTGGAGCCAATCCATCTGCACCAGCTGCCTTTACCGGTCTCAGATTAGCTATACCCTTTTGAACTTCAATTATAGTGGAAGCCCTACTTTAATGTTCCGCCCAGGGTGTTTGGAAATGGTGAGTAGCTATAAAATAGTTGAAGGCAAACCGAATCGCTCCTTAAAGCGTTTCGTTCATCGTTCTAAACGTCTGGACTGAGAGCAGATAATAGTGTCGTCTTTTTCCGAGATTGTCTCAAACTTGATTTATTAATTTCGGCATCTTTTTCACTCTGAAAGGCTTTCTGGTGTTACGTAACGCCACTGCCTTTTCCATCTCTTTTGCTTTCGTTGCCCACCACTGCTTACGATTGTTCCTTAGACTTTTGGTTAACCTAGATCTGATTTGTTTCCGCTCATCATCGAGTTCGGAGCCAAATGCGACGAGTTTACAAGTGCAATAGACTAAGTAGAAATCCACTGTTTTTTCGTGACTCCTTGGTTCAAGTCACCAACAGATGTCACTGCTGTTTGTGAACTTTTCCACGCAACATCTGGGTCCGACTCGTTTTCAGAATTGCCTAAGTATGATTTCAGTCGTTCCTGGAACTTACTTTAGGCTTTCTCGTCATCGCGTTTAACTCTAATGGGTCTTCTTAGTGTGGTTTTTCTGCGTCCAGTGAGGTGCAAGCGAATGGGTGCTCGTATTAAAGCATGATCAGAGTCTAAACACGTATCCTAGAACAAGCGACAGTCTTCTATTGAGCCTCTCTGACGATGAATGATAGCGATATGGTTTACTTGAGTTCATCGTTGGTTTGGTGCAGGGGGTTGCCACTATACACGATGTTTCTGCTTAAAATTAATGTTTGTTAAGAGTAAACGATCGTCCGAGCACAGTTGCAGCAGACGGTCAACGGTACATCAGTGTGCATTACTTGTTCACCAAAAACTCAATAATGATATCTAAGCAGGTGATTATTGCTCGAAACTCTGACCAAACTTATCCGTGAGATCTAGAAAATTCTTTATATTTGAACCGAGTTGAACCCTACTTTCTTATCATAAAAGAGACCCGAGATGACGTGATTAGAAATCTAAAAAATACCCTATGTTACTTCATAAAATACCATTAGATACCACATGCCATTTAAATGGCATAGTTATCTCAGCTTTCATAACCAAATACTTACGGGGGCATTTTGCAAGCGCAAATGGTAATTAAAGATTCTGTTTTCCTTTGTTCAGAGTAAATTCAAATCCAAATTACCTTTATCAACGCGCTCGTTTTACAAAACAGTCAAAATGAAACCACCCACGTGCCAGACCATCATACTTGGTCAACGACTACTGCTACGACATTAAACTCATATTTAAGTTTTTATACAAAGGATCCTACCATAATAGTTTCATCCCTAGTTGTACATTTTTACATGAAAACCAACTAACTCAGTAAAATGTTAGTAAGACTTAAGCAAACCAGACAGCTAGGCTATACCACTCCCACAAAACTCTACATTAAAAATAAAGGCTCCTTGAGCCAAACTCAAGTTGGGGGAGAAGAAGGAAAGAGGCGACGCATATGTAGCAGTTTGCGTCTGGCTAGAAGGTACTCTGTCTGCAAGGGAGCATGTTGAGTAGTTTGAGTGAGGACCCTACGAAAACAATAGATATGGATGACCCACAGAGCGAGCATAACGCATTGATATTTATTGGAGAAAGCAGTCAAAAGCATGACATGCCTAAGATCATGACAAATCTTAGAATCCAAACTACAAGACAATTCGACGTCAAATGGCAGAAAAGAAGTCAGGTCCGCTCAAACTTGGCCGCTGTTTCGTTTCAACGACCTTGAACGATCTGGCAAGAGATGGCCAATCAAATGGTTCATATGGTTGTGGACGGAATTGAAGAAGCTTTCGCTTAACGGACTTTCGTGTGTAGTAGCAGTGGATCAATAATACCTCCAGGCAGAAACCTAGGTATATTAATGATAATAGAGGGAAAATATATTGTTAAATCACAATATTATGTAACCCTTATTACTTAAGGATAGGTTGAGTTTCCTCGTAAAGGACTCCTGGGAAGTCGCTTGGACCAACTCAATCGTAAGCAAATTTCAACATTTGACAACCTTAAGGAATAGAAGTTGTATCTGCAGTCAGTTCTGCATTGTTGGGTCTCCAGTTTCTAGGTGTTAACCCTAAGGTTATTATTGTGACTAAGCTTAAGTATATGTTTGAGAGGATGACCGGAAGTGTTCAGGATAATGTAAGTCATTGGAAGGCCACCTCAAGACGCCTTTATTACAATGAGCAAAGGTTAAGCGATTGGAGGCGCTATTCATAAGGTTTGAAATTGAGTCCCCGAACTGATGTCGTGGCTCGCCATTGGACACGTTTCAGGGTGTCCTTATCCTTTAGGAGTCAGGAAGGAGACATTATATTTTCATAATCTAAGTAGGGGCTGTAACTGTAAATAATTCCCCAAAATCAATAGCTCATTAAGTGTTCGACATTGAATGCTGACCACATTGTTTAAGTGGACTTGTTTAACTGAAGGCGTTCGGTCATGCATCCGTACTATTATTATTATTATTTACCAGATCACGTTGCAACTCGGCGTGGGACACAGCTCCTACGTTTGGTAGCTAATTGTTAAGTTAGAATAACCAACGTATCCTCAGTGGTGAGCCTAACGTGGTCTGGCACACCAAGCCAATAAACTGTTAGTCCGTTCCTTTTTGGAATATTATTATTCATTGTTATTCTTTATTTGAATTTTATATATTGTGATAAACTTTTTTTCGCGAGTTTTTTAGGGATATATTTTAATTGGACATTTTTCGTTCTTTATATTACTATGACGGAACACTCACCGAAGGTATTTAAGTTAAAGACTACTCTCCTTTCATCGATTCAATTAACTCCCTTCTGGCCTGATAATATCGAGTCCTGGTTCTGCTACCCAGAAGCTGATTTTTGCATGCACGGAATCACGGACTCGCGCACACGATTCCTTGCGGTAGTTAAGGCATTACCGCGCGAATTTAACAGGTTCGTAACACCTAGTATGTTTACTAGTGATATTGCGGAACCTTACGAAACTCTCAAATGGTCGATTTTAAAACGCGGAGACCTAACTGATCGACAACGGTTAGACCAACTCCTTAACAATACCGACCTGCAACATGGTTCTGCGACAGACATGTTGCTAAGAGTGAGAGAGGTTATCGGCCAACGAACTTTCAGTGATGGCTTATTTAGACAACTTTTCTTGTCTAAACATCTTCAACAAGTGCAGGGAGTTCTCGTCTCATTTCAAAACAACGCCCTAGACGAGCTGGCTGCATCTGCCGACCGCATCTTAGAAATCACAAAATCTACTAAGGCCGAGGTATTTTCCGTCAAAGAAAAACCTCAAACGACCCCGAATGACATCACCGAACTATGTCATACACTGACACGCTATCTTCGATTTTGTAATGACCGTAGTCGGTCAAGATCCCCACGTAGGAGCTTTTCACGTCAGCAATCTGTCTCTTGACTACGAGAGACAGACAACCTCGACTGGTGCTGGTATCACAACCAGTACGGTAAATCCTCTAGAAATTGCAGCAAGCCCTGCAATTACCCGAAGTCCAAGGCGAATGACACGAATAAGACTTCGAGAAACTTTCGAGCCGGAACGTGTTAGCGGCAACCATAGCCGGTGAACACAGCCGTCTGTTATACGTCACGGATGTGACTACGAAAGTTCGCTACCTCGTCGACACCGGCACAGAAGTTAGCGTTCTTCCCGTGAACTTCAAGGACAGACTTCGCGAGTCTGTTTTCAGTTTACAGGCGGCAAACGGAAAGCCGATCACTACTTACGGTAAAAGGTACGTCTACCTTAACGTGGGTTTACGCAAACCCATACACTGGATTTTCGTGGTTGCAGATGTGTCTATGCCAATCATTGGTATAGATTTGTGACAATACCACAATCTACTAATCGACACTCGCTCAAGAAAGTTAATAGACGGAAATACTAGGTTATCTGTTTGCGTAACTCCTTTTTCTGGTTGCAGGTTATCCCCAATCACAATTAAGTACACCATAGACCCCATGTACCATTCACCACTCGACAAATACCTGGGGATATACCAACCGCAATCGAAATTGCCTTGTGTAACCAGCAATGTCGCACATCACATCTCGACTACAGAACCACCTGTATTCTCGAAAGCCCGTCGACTCGCTACCGAAAAGCTTAGGTTAGCCAAAAACGAATTCGACCATATGATAGACTTAGCGATCATTCGACCATCTAATAGTCCATGGTCATCCCCATTGCATATGGTCCCTAAAAAGAACAGCAACGAGTAGCGGCCAACTGGTGATTATCGGCGTCTGAATGCTAAAACCTTTCGTTTCCCGTTGCCTCACATTTACGATTTGACCTTGAAAGGTACAACAGTCTTCGAAAATCGACTTGGTTAAAGCTTATAACCAAATCCCGATGGCACCTGACGACCAATCGCCATCATCACTTCTTTCTGCCTTTACGAATTCTTGCGAATGCCTTTTGTTTTAAGAAATACGGCTCAAACCTTCCAATGGTTTATAGACGACGTCTTCCGAGGTCTCAACTTCGTACATGCGTATGTTGATGACTGTCTAATAGCAAGTCCGGACAGAGAATCACATCTCAAGCATCTGGATATTGTTTTCGATCGACTCCAAAGTCATGGGATTACTGTAAACATTCAGAGATGCCTAATCGAAACCAACTCCTTAGACTTCTTAGGATACACTATTGATGCCTAAGGCATCCGACCCCTTAGAAGCAAAGTGGCGGCCATTCTGGATTACCCAGAACCGACCACGATCAAGCAGTTGCGCACTTTCAACGGCCTTGTAAGTTTCCACAGATGGTTCATACCCAAATGCGCATCCCTTATGAAACCATTAACCGACCAACTTCGTGGAAATGCGAAATCAATAAGTTTAGAAGACACAGCGAGTAAGGCATTCTCCACAGTTAAGGAACACATCGCTAAGGCAACCTTGCTTGCGCATCAAGACACTCAAGCGCTCATTAGTATCGCCGTAGACGCATCCGAATCAGCAATCGGAGGAGTCTTACAACAATGGGTTAACAACTCATGGCAACCTTTAGGATTTTTCTCGAGACGGTTGCTAGACGCGGAATCTAGGTACAGCACGTTCGGTAGGGAACTCCTAGCTATGTATTGTGCTGTACGGCATTTCCAACATTCCATCGAAGGAAGAGAATTCACCGACCATAAACCTCTTACCTTCTCTTTAAGTTCATCTTCAGACAAGTACTCACCGCGAGAGTCTCGACAACTCGACTACATTTCGCAGTTTACTTCAGACATACAACACATTTCTGGAGCAAACAATGTAGTCGCAGACGCCTTGTCTCGAATAAGTTCCTTGAACAGTTTCCAAGGAATCGACCTTCTTAAACTTGCTCAGCTTCAAAAGGAAGACATTGATCTTTAGCATGAGTTATACTCGACCACTCTTAAACTAAGTATTAAGCAGATGGGAACAGGTAAGGAAACATTACTTTGCGACACATCTACGGGTAGGGATCGTCCAATAGTACCAAAACATTATCGACGCAACGTCGACACAATTGCCTTGCAAACAAATTTTGCACTAGTAACGTCAAGGCGCATTATTGGTCAGGTCGACAGTACAACTTTATACTTTTTACCAATTTTATGCACCCTGAGGATACGGCTGCTTTTCTAACTTTACAATTAGCTACCAATAGCACCTTCTATAATCGAAACGCTTTTGGCCAAACAGAAATCAGAAGTCAGACGAGAAGTGGTAGAAAAGATATATTTGATACGTTACCAATATATCCAGAGGCGTTCGTTCTTAACTGACTATTGAAACGTAGGAGCTGTGTCCCACGCCGAGTTGCAACGTGATCTGGTAAATAATAATAATAATAGTACGGATGCATGACCGAACGCCTTCAGTTAAACAAGTCCACTTAAACAATGTGGTCAGCATCCAATGTCGAACACTTAATGAGCTATTGATTTTGGGGAATTATTTACAGTTACAGCCCCTACTTAGATTATGAAAATATAATGTCTCCTTCCTGACTCCTAAAAGATAATTACACCCCGAATCATATCTGACGGCTAGCCACGAAACCAGTTCGGGGACTCAAATTCAAGCATTATGAAGAACACTTCAAATCATCCGACCATATGAATTGTTTGAGGTGTTCGAGCTGAATCTTTTGAAGCCTCAACGCCGTTTCAATCTCAAGGACGTTGTCAATCATTTTACGACAGTTTGACTTTCGGGTGACCACCAACTTTCATCAGTGGACGATATCCCTGAAACGTGGCCTTATCAATATTCCAGTTCATTGATTTTTAAGACCGCTGTAATTGCTGGGATTAGGTTAAATACGTTTTTGTTAACTGTATTTAATGTTGGTTAAGCAAAGCTAAAAATTTCAATATCAAACTTATTCTAAACAAAAATGCTGTTGATTTAAAATATGATAAAAATATAATTGAATTTTCAAATCTACATCTGAGACCACTTGAGCAGAGTGTCTAGGATTGGAAAATTGGACATCACTGCAGACTTAAGTCCCAATTGGGACTGTCCTCTCAACAAGATGTTTTGAATTGAGCAGATTAGATGAGAAATTACATAAGACAACCGGGAGTGTTAATTTTAGGGTGATGCAAACCTTTTCCGCAGTCTCTTTCTCAATAAAGTGATGGGAACGTTTTGTTATGAATAGGACTCCTAGTCCTTATCTCTTGCATTTATTATTAACCCAACAATGAGGTCTATATTACTACTCATGTAAGTGGTTTAAGTTCCTCAAATGAACTTCAGTAGCTCTCAAATATCGTCCATTAATTATGGTTTCATCCAAGTTTCTGCTAAGTGAAGACGCACTAATCGATGAAAACCGTAAAGGTATTGTAGTGTTTTATCAGAATATTTTAGTTCAACGTGTAAGTCACTTAATCAGTCGAATTCAGTTATAATATTAAAAAACTTCTTACTAGAGTCAATTCGATTCATGAGTTAATTTTCTACGAATATGGAAACCAGCTCACGGGTTGTAAAGCTCAACTACAATCCAATTACATCAAACCCTGATCATTTTACGGAGATAAATTGGTTGTGAATAGAATTTCTTCCTTTCTTGTTACATATCATTCACATTTCAGTTACTGAAACGGTTGGGTGGTCTGCTTCCGCCAACAGATTATTCAGGAAAGTCATGTTTCCTATCTGTGCGTTTCGTACAATGAATATTTCTCCTAGCATTCATGATCGGCGCCATCCAGTCACTTTGTCTGTGTGCTTCTGACTAGGCGGATACCTAAATAACTTCATCTCTAGGAGACTGACTGAGACAGTTTGATCGACTGCCCAGTAATCTTCGACACTTGACCAGCTATAATCAGAGAATAACGAGAAGGAACATTCACCAGTACTGTGGTTTTCCGTATCTTGATCCTTCTCTTCAGTTTATCTGAAATAAGAGCTAGGTTTTGTTAGTTTGATATTTTTGCAAATATTAAAAAACCGTAACAGTAATTTGGGGAAAAATCTGATTCACAGAGTTCCATAAATGAAACGCTAAAAGATGATATTACTCACTGTACGCGATACTGTATTTCCTAACAGCATATGTCTATCAAGATTGAGTTTGAAAATGTCTTGCTAAATATATTTTGTTTGAAAGCTGGTTGGTGTGGTGATTTGAGTTTTTAGTAAGTGAGGAAATTGGCTGTGCGATGAATACATCTAGAATTCTAAGGCCTATATTGCAACACAATTTTAGTTTTGATTCCCATATCAGGTGAACTTCTTTTATCTCATGGAAGTGCCTATCAAACTCAAACTCTCCTCACATCGCCGAAATCAAGCTGATTGGCATTTAAAGCAAAACGGTTGTAGTTCAGCGTGTAGAAAAGCTATTATTAGTATAATATTTTGAGTAATAACTTTTATATTACATAATTTTCCTAACACAGCTCTTAAATTTTAGGTGTGTCGTGTTCATGTGGGTCAACCAGGGCTTAAGTGGTAAGCTTGTCATATCTGGAATTCTTCTGTAGTGAAACATTTTCTTTAATGTCAGTTCCCAGAAAATTCGGTCGAAGTAATGGTTACTATTGGTTCATCGTTCTCAAATGTAGCAGATACCTTATTTCCCGGAATTTATGTAGCTCTACAGATGGTGTTGAAATGGCTCGTATGCAACAGCGCTATGCTCTGTTGAACAAGAAATGCGAAGGTAATATATCATTTCACTTTTAACTAACACCAAAGTACGCTTCCCTAAGTGTACTAATTAAATAGTTTGTCATTGATTAATAATCCAGTTACTTGAACTATTTCCTGAATAGGCGAACATGTGAAAGACATATTTACTTGGCAGATTTCTCCATTATATCGCTTATTTTACACTGTTCTGGTTTGTGTCATATACGGTATTTAGTCCTCTAACGTGGTGCGATGATTTGTCATTTATGTGACGTTTTATCTTCTAACTTCGTCCGGACAAGATAGTAGTAATTTGAGACAACGGAACCTAAATTCTATGACTTCGCCATCACCAAAAAGCTTGATTATTTCAATGGAATGTTGATAACGGCTGGGACATTTTATTACCAAAACGTTTGTAAGAACAAAGAAAATTCAGTGGAAATTTTATTTTCGACGAAATAATGTACTTAAGCTGAACTCCGTATTGTCTTCTGAAGCCGGCCTACCATTCACGAATTTGCTAAGGATGGACTTCTTATTTGGCCCACATCGATGTACATATACAAATTTACTTGCTCCTGTGGTGGGGCAAGTTTAATTAGCCCCACAAAGCGGTCACTTTCCAAATGTATCTCAGAATACTACTCGGTGTGGCTTTTATAGGGAGAATGCAACTCAGTCACCAGTTCAACACAAGAGCACCTAATCATTTCTGAGTACGTCGCTCCAAAGGAGTGTCCCTTCAAAATAATCTACATAGTCAGAGGAACTGGATTGAAGGGAGGGTTGATGAAAAACTTATGCACTTCTGAGGGGCGGGTGATTCACAAAGTACTTACTCTGCGCTCAAAAGCAATACGTCCAACCTCTCATCTTTCCTTGGCCCTAATTCCCTTCCCTAGTATGTTTCGGTCTTGTTTTTTCTAATTGTTCTGTAATTTTAAACTGTAATCGATTATTATTATCCTTCAACAATTTTAATGATTATTATTCAGTTGTTATTATGTTTTTCTTTTTTTTTCCGTATGTTAAACGTACAATTATCTTCCATAATTCTGACCCGTAAATTATTTTTATCCTTCTGTTTTTTACTAAACCCCTGATTATTGAGAAATCTCATTTGATATTTAGTATCAAATTATTACACGTTTCAATCTTTCCTATCCCTCTACAGACATATTTACCATACAATCATAAATACAAATGTAAATAAATTCGTCGAAAAGAAAGTTTTTACTGGGTTCTCTTCATTTTAATTCAAGAAGTTTATATCCGACGACAAATTTTCCCCGTTGTCCATTCTCACTCAAGTCTTCTTGCTGAATGTTACTTGACTCTGCGCAACTTTACAATGGGTAATGAAGAGCTTTCCCTAAGAATGTTTGATATGCTGAATGCTTTGTCTGTGTAGCTCATAATTTACATAACCTCATAATCACCCAATTTAATTTATGATACCATGTATTATTCTGAACACTCAAGATTCGCTTCAAATTTTTCCATTTATGGGCTTCAATCCTAAGGTAGCATTACTTGGTGATAATTTCGCTCCTTACCACTGCTTTAATGAATGTGCTATTCGAGAAATATGTAGAATCTATCGTGTATCGTTTGTCAGGTTGTCGCTTATTCTAGAATTATGTTGACTAAACGAGTGAACTATGAAAATTCTAAGAGTTATCAGATCAGGATGCAGCGTCCATTTGTGTAGTCACCAACGATTAACGTTGCTTTGTAGTATGTAGATGTCCTGGAAGTGGTTAGGACACATATTGAGGAACACCCAACTGCGTCACAAGGCAAGCTCTCACTTGGAATCCTCAAGGCCAAAGAAGAAGAGAGAACCAAAGAACACATTACACCGAAAAGTCAAAACAGATATGGGAAGGATGAACAACGACTGGATAGAACTAGAAAGTATGGCCTAGGACAGTGTGGGTTAGAGAATGCTGGTCAGCAGCCTATGATCCATTGGGAGTAACAGGCGTAAGTAAGTAATGTAAATGTCCTAAAGTTTATCAGGTTGGTAGATATCAATGTTTGACACTGTTGAATACTGTGCCTGGGAATCTGTTACAATCTCAGAAGTACCTGCATTCATTATTTTCGTTCAAATCTTGGACATTTTATCATTATTTCCATGCATCTACTGGTTTTTTGGTTATTTATATACTTTCCATTATTTATTTAGATCTTTCGAATTGTGTTGATTTCTTTTTTATCTACTTGTTATATACTGCTTCTGTTACTCTTGTATTTATCTTGCTGGTTTTATCTCGCTGTGCTGATGTGATGTGGCGAATTGGGACGAAGTACGCTGTCAGGTTGGTTAGCACTGGCTGACTTGTAAAAAAACTAGACTCATGTGTTTTGCGTCAGTTGTTATGCTTTTGTAATTATTTGTCTCAATATTCTGACTGTACATACAATAATAAGCTCTTTGGTATTATGATTATGTTTAATGAGGTCGTTATCAAACCGCTTAGTATATTCACTCTTCAGTCATTTAGTCAGTCATTATCAACGCACTTTAGCCCAAGTTGCCATTCTGTAATCGCACGGTGAGATGTTATAGCATCTCACGTACGATTGAGCTTGTTCATATCTAATGTGGTCAATCCTTTTTGTCAACTTATTTAACGGACAGAGTCATCCATACAATAACAACCTATCTATACCATTGTACCTTTATTATATATGCTTGGGCATTTCTTACTGTCTACGCATATATTCATTTTGCTAGTCTTACTATTAATTGCTTAATTGATTTGATGATCCATTCATTTCCATATATATATATATATATATATTTTAATCCTGTTCACTGACTCGTTGACTCGCACACTCGTTTATTAACTCGATCACTCGCCCGCTCACTTGCTTGCTTTACGGCACCACTCTTTCATGCTTGCTTAACGTGCCAACTGATTAAGTGCGGATTGCATGGCTTGGGCATTATCGCACGGTAAGACAATATCATCCGCATACTCAAGGTCGAGAAGTCGCTCTCCAGGCAACATATCCACACCGCCATTACTTACATCCATCAGAGCTGTTTCCAGGATGTCGTCGATAGCAAAGTTGAAGAGGAATGGTGAGATCGGGCAACAAGGGAGAAAGGTGGTTGTATGCCCTCACTCTGCCTGAGGTGTTCGTATACAAGGCCTTTAAGATGTTAATGAACTTCTCAGGCACACCCTTCTTCAATAGACAATCCCAGAGAACAGTCCTGTCCAACGAATCGAAGGCCGCTCTGATATCAAGAAACACTACGATTGTTGGCCTGCGATAAGTATGACGGTGTTCTAACATTTGGCGGAGGGTGCCACAGGGTCCCCGGATAAGCGCACGTGGAACAAGCTTTTCTAGGCGACAGATGGAGAGCGGATTTGTAGTACTTCGCTAGAGTCTTGAATACGGGTCTCAGATAGACAACAAACATCAACATTAAGCCCTTCCAAAGACATAGCCAGCCCTATCTGTTGTCTGATATGCATTAGTGTGCGAACGTTGAAGGAAGCCAGCTTGAACGGCGTGCGTGGTTTCAGAAAGACTGCTTCAGTATTCATAATCGGTGGAAGCATTCACTTTCAACCAGACAGTGACTGGAGATCGTTTAGATAGGACAGATTTTCCACCATGGGCGAGCTGCTGCATAAGTTGAAAAGTAAGGTTACACAAATTGGGGATAAAAGGGGATGAGTTAGCGATATGGTAAATAATAATAATAATAAAGGTAATAATAATAATGTAAATTGTCTTGCTTCTAGTATGAGCAGGAATAGTATCGTCAATAGAATTCATCATTTCATTTATTTGTGTGTGGGCTGTGATACTGCCCAGGTGCCCAAACTGAAGCAGGTGGTTTTCTTAGGGACCCACACCCGGAGCCTTTGACCGAAAGATCTAATCCACAAGGCAATGAAGCATCGTAAGGAGATGCGTTCCCATGGTAGCCGGTGATCAACGATTGATTCGTACGCCATTTGTCCACTCAGGATACTGGAGCCCATGTGCACCATTGGTTTGGAATCAGGGTTTTCCAACTCCCCTAGGTGGATCCTCTATATCCACCAACCCGGTTAAAGCCCCGAACATTCGCTTTTCGTCCTCTCAATTTCGTAAACAACACCCCCGCCACGAGAAGGCAGTGAGTAGGACTTCCCTGACAGAGGCTATATATTCGGTGGCCATGTGAGAGCATTTCGAGAGGGAGAGCAGACTCTTCCCACTCTCGGCCGTACCAGGGCATTTGGGGACAAGCCTCCAAATTAAAAAAAATTGCCATAAAACCTCTCGGTCAACGGAGTCGCTTGCTGTCTTAGTGTCAAATACAGTTGTCGAGCGCCAAAAGTACACCTATGTTCTAAAACCTGATAAACTGAGCACTTGGTCAGTCCGTCCATCTTCAAGTCTGAAACCAGCCTGGCTTTCTTCTGATTTGTTATTCACAAGCCCTAGTTAAGCGTCAGACTATTGTTTTAAATAGTATTTTAGACACTATGTTGCTAGAGCTGATTCTTTTGTTTTTATCACAAGAGGATTTTTTTCTTTCCTATAAACTGGAAAGATCAGCAATCGAAATCAGTTAAGTGATATTTCGTCTAGCTCCCGAACCCTAGCTAGTATCCTCTGTTAACTTAGTTTATAAAACTAGACCTTCAGACTTAAAAACCTTTGTTGCTAATTCACCAGGGTATGCTGATTTCCCTATCTTTATACTGACTTTAGTCCTTACATCCTCACCGAGATTTGGAGGACTTGTGTCAATTCCCTTATTCCGGTTGCTTGGAGATAGTAATTAGTTGCATGGTCATTGAATTGGCTCCACATATTGTTCTGCATATCCGTCTGATCCCCTTGACCAAGAGTGAATAGATCAAATGAATGTTTATCGAATTTTTATTGATACTATACTTCTTTTCATCTCTTCCGAGACTTGACTCGTTTCATTTGACAATTCTAGAACACATAACCACATTGGATCAAGTTAATCCTCGGGATGTATTTGTAAATAATGAAGTAAAATTGAACAAAATTCAAGTGTATGGGTTTGATTATGATTACACATTGGCTCATTATACATCTGACTTGGACGAATATATTTTCAATGAATCTCGTAACTGGCTTGTTGAACAAATGAAGGTCAGTTAACTATCAGTCATTATGTAAACTTTGAAATACACTATTGAAAATAATTTGTAAGACATGTTTATGTATTTCCTACTTTTAGTTTTTTTTGCCAGCTTTAACTAAGTTTTCGGATTCTAAAGCATAAAAGGGGCATGCGTAAGGAATAGAAAATCTAATTTTTAATTATTATTTCTTTTTAGATGCTACCTTGTATTATGTTACTTAACGTTCAGCGATATCAGTCTTTTGCCTCTTATCGTCTGTTGTTCACAAACCAGTTTCACTTGAAGCTCCTGTAAGTACTGTGTTGCTAAAACCCATGAGCTCGCTTTTTTCATATCAGCAAAGGTGAAAAAATACTTTTTTAACTTGGCTTAGTTGCTATATATCCTGGTCACTCATAGCACATAAGTGAATAAATAGTCGGACTAATAATTTTAGCTATCAAATTAGAGAGGAATAGTTTTTATTTATTTATTTAAACACATAAATATTGATACAAAATGGAACCAGATATATATGTCCCACACAAATCTCATTTGATTTGTGTGAGGGCAATGATACTGCCCAGGTGCCTTAACCGAAGCAGACGGTTTTCTTAGGGGACCACACCCCGAGCCTTTGACCTAAAGATCTGATCCACAAGGCAGTGGCGCATCGTAAGGAGATGCAGTCCCATGGTAGCTGGTGACCGACGGTTGATTCATACGCCATTTGTTCCCCTAGGATACTGGAGCCCATGTGCACCACTGGTTTTGAATCAGGGTTTCTCAACTCCCCTAGATGGACTTTCCGTGTCCACCAACCCGGTTAAAGTGCCGGATATTCGCTTTTCGTCCTCTCAACTTCGTAAACAACAGTAATGCCACGAGAAGGTAGTGAGTAGGACTTTCCTGTCAGAGGCTATATACTCATGGCCATGTGAGAGCATTCCGAGAGGGAGAACGGACTCTCCCCACTCTCGGCTGCACCAGGGCATTCGGGGGCTACCTTGTCCCATATAGTGAAAACATTTTCTGAAATTAACTGTTCTCATCATTCTATATCTCTGTGGGTGCCGTTTCATCAATGAAAAGAATTGGGGATAATGCGCTTTATGCTCAACCTTTCTGAATCTATGTACCATTACGCCCTTTCGAAGACTTTTCCAACCAAAAGTTATAGAAAGTGGGAGTAGTCATCATTTTGACAAAACAACCGAAATCAAAAGTTCTTATTATTTACCTCTTTGTTGATGACTAAATTTAGCAAACACACTTCCGAGTTAATTAACTTAAAATGTACCTCTTCAAAGTGTTTTGTACCATTACTTAACTAGTTAGATTACATACAATATTGGTAGTAGTACTTCAGGAGCTTATTTAAAACTATTCAGTTTGAATTTTCATAAAGTCGCGTAGTGACTAGCAGTGGAATCCAAAACATGCGTTTCGTTCTGTAACTAATCAATCTACAAATCGTACTCAGAATCCTCAATGTTTTTATGTTTGTTAATGCTCTAACAGTAACTAAATGGTATATTGATTTGTGAATCCATGACAGTCTTTCTGGTTTTCAAGATTTACCGATTTTATTTGGACATATATTAGAGGAGATCTGCGAGAAAAAACTTGTATTATAAGGTAAGGAAAAGTAAGAAGACAGTAGAAATTATTTGTTATGAAATGCAAGAGTAATTGGTCAATTAATTACAGATCATATTGTCCTATTCCTTTTGACTTACGATTCCTATCATATATTGCTGATATTTCCTAAGTATTCATATATAACTACACTTCCCATGTCCCACTTACGGACTAATAATGGACTTTATTTCATTCTGTATATATTACCATTAAATTTCTTGGGGCCCAAATCTAGTATAGGATTTAGGAATTATAAGTTCATTTTGTTTAGAAGTGCTGAATAATATGTAACTAAAACAGTTAAGACAATTTACTTATTCTGTAAATCAGACCAGTCCAAGTTCTCTACTCGATAATTCTATATATATTACGCAAAGTAGTTGTCAATCGTCCTACTTCAATCGGTCTATATAAAACTTGCGATATATGAGTGTTATTTTTCTGATATTTTTGTCATTCAATAACAATGCAATAAAAATGGAGTTCTTACTTTTCTGTTCAAATATTTTTCGGTCCCGTCCATTTCCAACCCTAAATGGAACGTATAATCCCGTAAATGCAATATGTAATTAATTATTGTTCGATATTTCAAGTTCCGAATACTCAGTCATTTGTGTGACAGGCTCTCTGATCTTGCCTAACCGAGTTTAGTTCGACAACTTGTATAGTGGTTTCAACTGTCACGTAATAATTATACTTTATTATATACTGTCGTGTTGGCATAACAATGGCTTACTCAAAGCATGTGTTAAACAGGATAACGTTGAAGCGCGCTGATTGGTTCACTCTCAATCGATCAGCGCCAATGGATGAACTGAGAAGACAAGAACATCACAGTGCAATGTTTATATATACATTGACATTTTGTTGTTTAACGAGAACCGCTGTTTCGTTTGGAATAAATTTATGCTCCGTCCAAGTCGTGTTTTGATTTGAGAATTAGTCGAGTGGGGTGAAGTGTCCAAGACTACTAGACCAAATAAGGAAAATTAGTACATAGATACTTCACCTATTCGCTTTGTTGTTACATGGTTGAACCGTTTAATGTCTTTTACGCGTAAGCTATTTGATTTTTTATTACTAGTAAATAAAGTATAATGTTTTTTTATGTCAGTCAACATTATTTTTGAAAACTTCAGAATTTTTTATTTAATTTTACCAACTTAGATCTAAATAAATCCTCATTTTGTAATCGGTCTTCTTTTTTTAAACTATTTTGCACTCATTCAAATTTCCTGCGAATCACAATCTCAAACAACTACCAGTATCCTGAAGAAATTCTGAACTATGATTATACTGAATTCGCTAGACGTGGTTTGCATTTTGATGTAAAACGAGTATGTTACCTCATTACTCATAAAATTAATTTCCCAAATTATTTAATTTAAGAAAGGTATGTTATAAAATGACGACATTACAAATTATTTGTCTTAGTTAGCGATTCATGATAAAAAGTGTTTAATGGTCAATACAAGTAGATCAAACACATTATTATTATCATTACAACTATTACTATTATTACTATCATTATTTTACACGTCAGTCTTATGCACATGTTGTCACTGGACAGTTTTCTGTCTATATAAAGAATGAGAAACAATTAAAAGACAGTATTGTGACTTTAATTGAGAAAAATGTAACAGTCTGCCAGAGCTCATACGAGTCTGATGCAAATGATTAGGATCAAGTTGATCTGTGATAATCCTGCAAACGATGTACATACCTTAATGCTCTGAATTTGAATCAACACTTTTGTCTGGGTGGAGTTCACACCTGTAATCCAGCTCTGATTACACTGGTTCTATGATAGTCAAACTCTTTCAAAAAAGAATAACTGTATGGTAAAGTTTCAAGTGTCTAAAAGTTTGTAGGTCTTTTTGCAGGTGCTTTTTCAAGCTCATCACATGCAACCATATTTAAGATTTCTTTACAGTCAACTCATTGATCTTTTGTATTCTTACGGTTATTATTTTAATGTCTAGGGCTTATTAATGAAAGTGGATGCATTTCATCATATTCAGCTGGATACTGTTTATCGTGGATTTAAACTACTATCATTGGATGAGATATTAAGAGTTTATCGTGGAAGCCATTTATCTAGTGATATTTTAAAACAAAAATTTACACCTAATGTAAGTTTTTTGTTTATCTATGAATTATATCACTAAAATCTAGCAGTTTTATCATATGTTGTTGGAAAATATTTTTTAACTTCCTAGTAGATACTATTTTAAAAACAAAACTTTCTTCATCCAACTTTTTAGAGATTAATATTTTATCAGGAAATCTACCTGTTGACTTGGACTATATAGATGACAGTTCTGTTGGATAATAGCTAATGAAATCCAAAGTTTTCTGATCACTTCGAGCAACAATACAATTATATTTTAGGTTCGTTTCTTCCCCCTCTCAAGGCTAAATCTCGCTTTCAGACTGGTATGCGTCAATGCGTAGACTAATAGTAGGGAGTAAATTCAGTTGGGATTGAAGGACTTGACAAACATAATATTGGTCATCACTCAGGGATCAGTTGATTGTAAATATTCCATTCCTGTAAGAGGTCAGTCGATGCCTAAATAACTCAGTGGTAACGTCTCATACAGGAGGGATAAATGACACAAGACTAAACCCTCCGGGAAGCACTGCTTCCCTCAAAGTTACAACCATACCTTGCAGACAGTTGCCAGGGTTTCTTGTCGACTACCGCCAGCCACTTAACATCTTAAGATAGGGAGTAAAGAAGTCGAACTTACTGGTCACTTCAATTATTTTTGAAATCTCATCACCCCAACATGGATTTAGAAAGATTGTTTGATTTCTACTAGTTTGCGTTACCTATGTTGTGGGCGAGATGTCCTTTTTTCAACTAGCAGTTTTCTGTGTTTCACTTTGAAGCTGTAAAACGTAGCATTCAGAAGTAAAAATGATCTGTAGGTTAGTAGTATTTGATCATTTACCTAAATTTCGAATTTAAATTAACCCACTTGGTACTTAGGTATGAGCCTCAGACTGTGTGTGAGAGCTAACGGTGTTAGCCGGTTGCTCAGACCGAAGCAGGTTGAGCAAGATATAAACCTGAGACTTGGTTACTGAAATTCGAACGGCTTAACCAGTAAGTCCACTCTCTATATTTATTTAATTGTAGGTGTTTCCAAAACATTGGAGACTCTGTGTGACATGGCTCAGAATCGATCACAATGGCGTAGGTGTATACATTCTTTATCTTTCCTTAAACCTTAAGATTAAGATTGCTTCATAACGTTCTTCCTTCCTATATTATATCCTTATATACAACCTATCTTTTATATACTACCACCACTAAATTAACTATTTCTATGAATCCGGTGTTCATCTTGTTGTGCTAATGAGGTATGGCAACTTGGACCGATGCATATATGTGCCTGGTCCTACGTTGTAGCTGACTGACAAAACATTGCCTGAACAATAATGGCCTTGAAGAAAGATAGAGGTGACCATACTAAAACGTAACATCAGCCCATAAAGAGGTTATCTATTGATCTGAACCATGTTAGTAGACGTAAACTATCCATTTGATGTACACAGGTTTATCGTAACCAGTGATTGTAAACGTTGGGTGAAATGACTTAGAATTGGTTATAGTGACACAGATACATTTACGTTTTGTCTTCCCTTAGTTCTTAAGTTTAAAAATTATTTTATGCCTTTTATTCCCCGAATTATTTCTTTTTTTACTGAAATTGGTACTGCTACCAATGCTTTGGTGTTCATCCTGACAATTTTATCTCATCATACTGATAAGATATTACAATTTGTGTTAATTGAGATTTGTTCTGAGTGTCAGATCCACTTGAATAACGCACTCAAGGTCTAAAGCTGAAGGGAATTCTGAATGCCAAGTTTGTCTGTGCAGCATGGGAAGAAGATTTCAATACAGAGCACCATACAAACATTCATCTAAAGCAATTAGAACTAGAATTAGCCAAGCTATGGATAGAACTTGAAAAGTGGACCACGCTGGAGAAGTACTGGGCCTTTTTGAGAGAATCCCTGAAATTTTTTGAACAAATGACGATTATAAGCAGCTTAGCAATGTAATTCAGTTTTGTACGAGCTAAAAAGGCCATCGAACATTGTTTGATAATGGGCGGGTCTAAATGATTCACGTTAACTAGAGATATTGTAAGAAAATGGTTTAGACAGAATTATATGGTTAGTAGGTCCTTCATAGACCAAATAGTAGACTGACCACCAATTAAAAGTGATGATTTGATGGCTCTGTCCGATCTAGGACAGAAAATGCAATCATGTGAAATCACTTTAAAACAACTAGATTGTAAATCAGATTTGATTGCCAGCAGAACTCTAGAAACTTCAGTTTCACGTCTACCTTTGAATCTTAGATTTAAGTGGGCAGATATGGACGTAGAGTATATGAGACAAGACAGAGAGCCTAAATTTGGAGATTTAGCCAAGTTCGTGGAAGAACGAGCAGATATAGCAAGCACAAGATATAGCGAACTAACAGTAATCTTAATATCGGACAAATGAGTTAAAGGAACTTCACTTCAAACATTATTCAACACAAAGGAGAGTATTCTTGCTTTACAGTATTCTCCCGTTAACAATAAGCAACAGAATAAGAGTCTAGTCTGTACCACCTGTAGTGCAAGCCATTCCTAGCCTACGCAGTGCAGGTTTTGCCTAGTGTAAGACGTGTAGAACATAATGTCAAACAACTACAATCCTTATGTCATTTGAAAGATGTAGAGCTGAATAAATGCAGGAACAAACGTGTTGGATTGCTGATAAAATGTGATGTACTAGAAGCTCATGGAATTTTAGAACAAAAGACAAGAAAATTAGGTGAGCCTCATTTGATAAGAACTATTTTCGGTTGGACGTTAACGGAGTCATTTTTGCTACTCAGGCGAAAAATCAAATAAAGTTAAATTGGCTTCACCTCTCGGAACTTGAGAGCACCGTTGAGATGCTTTATCATCAAGATGTGCTGGATGAAGGTCAAACCAACGACAAAGATATGTCAGTGGAAGAAACGCTGGCTCTAAAAACCTTGAAAGGGTCTCGAAAGAAAATCTTCCACACGTTTACATTTGTAGTCAACGGAGTCGAAGAAAAACTTCTTCGATACAGCAAAAGAAGGTCTATTCGGTAGCGCAATTATCGAAGTTTGTCTTCATCAAGCTGTTATTCGTATAGCCCATCTTCATCCATTTCATCAGGCTCCTTATCAGAAGTAAACGATCCTCGCTCCGCAAGTAATGGTTCTCAAACCAGCTGGTGTTCTCATCCATCTAATCTTTCGTACTTTGGTTATGACTTCCTGACCTTAAATAAAAGTCCCTACTTGATTTACTTTTGATAGTGGGGGACAATAAAATTCAGAACTTAAATCGACGCTTATCTTTTATTTCGAAACAATCAGTTGCATGGCCCAAAACTATTTAGTTTATTGTTTTATTCTCTAGTTTCTCCTTGGGTTTTAATTACTCTATGTACTTCTTGTCACTATCTTCAGAAATAAAAAAAATATCCCCTTTAAGGTATGTTATTTATCATTGCAGTACATTGTACTCAATTTTGTGATAAACCATTTTGGTACTCTGTACATAGATTTTATTCTTCTTGACCATGGATAATAAGTTCTATGGGTCGCGTCAAAAGGGCTATCTCACATCTGTTAGATATAGATTTAATGATGGAGACCATAAAACTTGTGGCCGTACCGGACCCACTCACGAAAACTACAAACTACATGTCCTATAATTTATTTTCCAAGAGCTCTTGGTCACTAACTAAATGTGTAACTACCACTTAGGTTTTTGTTGTACATTTTAGGACACGATTATGATTCAGTTGATGGATTTTTTCAGATTGCCGGAAATTAATCTTCTATGTTCTATTATAGATGTAAGTCGTATTATTAGTAATCTATTTTAGCGCTTACTAATTTCTAAAATTACCATTGTTTTACTGAAAAATACTGTCACTCTCCATTTATGTTCTTGTTACAACTACTATTTTGTATCTGGATCATTTGGCTGATAAGTTTGTTTGTTATTTAAAGAAGTCGTTTGACGAAGTTGATTGGTATTAAAATGCCCTTCAAAATAGGCTGATGTCGTTGAAAAAACCACTCGTTTTCTGTTTCACCTAAATCTGAGATAGTTATTTATGACGAAGCAGTCAAGGAAAAGCTTCAATGTTTGGGAACTTCGAAGTGTTTCTTGATATTATCAGGTCGTTGTTACCAAACTCTTTACTCGAAACCAAATTAAAGGTGGTGATAATACAATTGATACAAAGATCTAAAGTAGTACAGTCAGTTAGAAACAGGGAACAATAAATACACATACCGAACAGTAATAGAAACACAACAAAATTACCCAGTTAGGAAAATAGTCATATTTGTAAAAAAAAGTTCAATTTCATGACTTATGGTTAAACAGAGAATAACCAGTTCAAGGTCAATACTGAGTATTAGTGGTGTGCTTTTAACATAAATTTTGATCCATTAATTTATTCTTATCAGTTGATATTCATACTTATTTACCAATTTCCTTTTTCAGAAGGAATTGGGCATTATTTATTAGAATCTGACACTGACTTAAAGTTGCACTCTGAGATTATAAAACCTTGGGATTATAGAGACACAGAAGGTGTAGCTATAAAACCATCTGTTTTCCTAGTTGGTACTAATTTGGTCATGAACTCGTCGGAAACAAATGTAATCTCGCGATGTTCTTTTCACCTAAAATCTGGTTAATGTACTTTGACAATACCTTTGTTATTGCAAAACGTGATGGATTAGATAAACTTTTTGATGATGTTAACAATATATATATGGAATCAAGTTCACTAGATATAGAATCTGGTAACCACAAACTAGGATTTCTTGACTGTTCATTTGAAAGAGGACGCAATAATTATTCCAGAACTGATATATCCCGAAAACCCGGATTCTGAAAAATACTCAATGGACGGGTCACCAAATCCCTATCAGCATAGGTGACAATTGCTAAGACCATGATAAACAGATTTCAACACCTCATCACAGAATTCAAACATAAAAAGACCTAGTTGGATTCGGTTGTATCTACATTGATAATAAATGATAATCTTAAGGACTTTATAAATAAAATAATTGAGAATAGGAACAAAAAATTGCAAATGAAGGTCCAACTGAATGAGTGATTACTTCAGTGTATCTGTGATACCGTAAAGAATCTGTCGCAAATATCTGAAAGATACCATACCATCAAAATGTATGATTATTTTTGCCTTTCAAATTGTGCTGTACGTTTTAAGTTATTAAAAATCAAAGATACTGTGGTACTAAAAAATGTTAAAGTGTTAGATCTTGCGATTCTTCCATTGATATGCAAGCTTCCAAACCAGCTACTTGAACGAAAAGGGAGCTTTATTGCCTAAAACCGAATTCTATAAAAACCTTGGGTAACTCGAAAAAGTTTTGTAGACACCACCAGATTTGGCGGAAACTGATCACTTGATCGACTTGGATGGAACAAAAGTCATTCAGGTAGATTTTTTTCCGTTTGCAAAGTATAGTCAACTCATCAGTTTTATAAAGTACATATTAATTATTTCAACAGTAACTGAATAGACAAAACTACTTGAAAATAAAAAATAATCAATCTAGTAGAAACAGTACTTCTGACAAGAGCTCATTAACTTGAATGATATATGACAACTTAGAGCTAACTTGGAATCGATTCTGACAGGAAATAGATAAAATAAAACCAGGAGTCAAAAAACATCGGTTCTCAGAATAAAATCTGACTAGAAAGTTGAAATTTTTGTAAAATCAAAATCTTATGTAGTTTTAAACCGGTCACTTTTGTGTTTCTGGCCTCAATTACAAATCTCAGTAGCTAATAAAATCTTGAATTCACTTTTATCATTAGGGGATTTTGTTTAAAATTTTTTTTATTTTATTTAAACACATAAATATTGGTACAAGAAAGCACCATATATATATACGCCATACAAATGTCATTCGATTTGCTTGAGGGCTGTGATACTGCCCAGGTGCCCAAACTGAATCAGGTGGTTTTCTTAGGGGTTCACACCCGGAGCCTTTGACCGAAAGATCTAATCCACAAGGCAATGAAGCATCGTAAGGAGATGCATTCCCATGATAGCCGGTGATCAACGATTGATTCGTACGCCATTTGTTCCCTCAGGATACTGGAGCCCATGTGCACCATTGGTTTGGAATCAGGGTTTTCCAACTCCCCTAGGTGGATCCTCTATATCCACCAACCCGGTTAAAGCCCCGAACATTCGCTTTTCGTCCTCTCAATTTCGTAAACAACACCCCCGCCACGAGAAGACAGTGAGTAGGACTTCCCTGACAGAGGCTATATATTCGGTGGCCATATGAGAGCATTTCGAGAGGGAGAGCAGACTCTCCCCACTCTCGGCCGTACCAGGGCATTTGGGGGCTTTTGTTTAAAATAGATACAGGATTATTTGTTTTTCAGCATTTCAAATACTACTTCTTCACATTCAGTATTGATCAAAGGCCTGGTGTATTTATTATTAAGTTTAATTAACATTCTGATCTATCAAACAATTTTTTTATGATTATTGAAATATTATAATAAACTGCCTAAACAAAAATCTTTCAGAAGGGGTTTCGTGGAGATTTAGTATTTTCATAGTTGAAAGCGTGAGTCAATTGAAGCTAGACCAGCAGTGCTTCCAGGTTTTCCATGGTGGTCTAGCTTCAATTGACTCACGCTTTCAACTATGAAAAATCGTTCAGTTATTCTTTTCATGGAAACTTGATGAAAACACACACTTCATAATTATAACTATTCAACAAGTTTTTGGTTGCCTTTTTTCGTTGAAATCTTTTTTACATTTTCTTAAGGATAACTTCTTTCACTAATTAATATAAGCTAAGTTAGTATTGACTTTCGAGTGAATTAAGACTTCTGTACAATACACACTTCTTCAATTAAATTATATGTTGATATCTTAATTGAAACAAGAACTATGAGTTACTCGAAACCCCAAAACGAGAACGTTTTTCATTATCTATATGAATATTCGTCAATATTAGAACGAATAGGTTGACAAAAATTGCGCGCCGAGTATAGAAAAGTCATTATATATGAAAATTATATTTGAAGTAATCTCAGTGATTGAAGTTTAAATAATTCCAACGTTTCGTCTAGCTAACTTGTCTGGACTTTTTCAACCTTCAGCTTGCACTTTTATTTTTCCTTCATATAAAAGCAAATTTAACACCTGGTATCAACTATTAATAACTCAATCTCACATATACACACACAATTTATTCATTTTCACATGATTCGAATTTAAACGACTCATCTTATTTACCAAACTCAACATCTAAATATGATTGGATTAGCACAGCAAATATTTGATTTAATTGTTAAACCCTACGTATTTTTTTATAATTTTGATGATTACGCTGAAGAATCCCAGAACAGTTTGCTGAACGAAACGTTAGAAATATTTAAATTTCAATCGTTGGGATTATTTCAAATATAAGTTTCACGCATAATGTTCTTCAATTAATACTATTTATTTACGGCTACAATTATTTTTTTTTGACAACACTTTGCTTTCAATCAACAAAATAATTTTTTTCTCATTTATAGTTTTTCGATCGACATGGAATAGATTATAAGCCTGTTTATGTTTATCAGGATGTTTCTGTAAGTGTTCTTCAATAATTCAGTAACATGCAGAAATTTTATTGTATTGTTGTTATTATTATTATCACCTATATATATCAACCTTTTTTTATAATGTAGAAAATCTTTTAACAATTTCATAATGTTAACAAAATTTATTTCTTTTGAATGCCTTAAATATTAATATCAAGCCTGTATTTTCTACCTGTCAAATGCAAAACATTACATCAGAGCTAGTCTTCATTTTAGTCTAATTCGACAATTAATTGAGAAAATGAGTCGCTCATTCACATGGATATTTGTACTAGTTATTTCGGCCTAGTGGCTGACGAAGTCTCATTTTCTAATTGATATTTGTAGCCACTCTATAATAAACATACCTGTCAGTAAACAAATATACAGAATATTAGGTCAGTATTTCTTGATTTTATTGTAAAGTATGCGTTGAACATGTGATATATGAAATAAAAGTCATACTACTACCCATAAATTAATTCAGTAACTGATTGTAGGCCTTTAACAGAGTAGCTCCAACATGTTGTTACCGATTTACGTGTATATACAAATATAGCAATTTCCGGGTTCACTGTCATATTTTATATTTATTGTTAATTTGATTCTGTTCTTAAACGTCATTATTATGTTATGTTCACCATCACTTCGTATGTGCATAGTACTTAAGTATTAAGATTTTTCAGACGTACATCCTTCTCAACAAATAGTCTGAATCCTTTATTGTCGTACGTATGTCGAATCGCTACTGTTATATATTATGCTCCGTAGAACGGATACCTAACTTCCAACTGATGTGTTCATTAATCGTTATTACCAAATTTACTCTTTCTCCTTTAAATACCATTAAATTGCTGAGTAATTCTTACCATACTATGTTGAAAACCTTAAAAAAGTAACAAATGATTAGAGTTAAATTGCTCAGGACATGTAGTCCTATGATCGAAATTTTCGGTAGAAAAAGGTTTTATTGTTAAGTTAAAAATCATCGTATTCTGTTCTAGAACAAATTTGCCAACCAAAGGAATAATTCAAAAACAATTTCGTCTGTTTAGTTTCAATTCAATCATGTGTTTTGTATACTTTGATCATATTTGCAGTTTACTATTGCCTTTTGCACATTATTCTCCGCTTACTACACTATCCATTCATTTATTTAAAATGTACATGATAATAGTAACAAATATATCCCATGTATACTTATCTTTTAGACAGCTGTAGCAAGAGTTCATAAATCTGGTCTTCTAGGTCAAACCGTAATGTCAGATCCAGGTAACTTGATACAGTCTATCTCTAAATTACATGTGTGTCTTATTTTTTTGTTCGGTAAATTATCAATAATAGTTTTAATCCAACTTCGTAGTTTTGAAAGGTCTGATCGATCATCATCCACTTTGGTTTTCAGGGAGTTATGTCTTTTCCTGACTTATAAAGTTTATATTTGTACGTTGTTGATGAACTACCTTTGAGATAGAATCTAAAAGCTTTGTTGTTATGGAAACTAAATTTCTAAAATTTCTTAAATTCAGATAGTACTTGATGAATTCTAAAATGTTTTCCAATATCATTAACAATAATAAGTGTTGACGTCAAACTGTGAACAGTAACGTAATAATGAGAAGCTTCACAATAGATAGGTACGTTCATTATATCATAACTTTCATCGGTTATTCCATTAATTGTTTAAAGATCCCCATCATATTAAAAGACTACTATTTGATTAATGCCTACTTTTAAGAAAACTAATTTTTAATTTAACGTACGTATCCAACCCATTGAGAATATGATTCATTTTAACTTTACAGAAAGGTATATTGCGAAGGCGCCTCAATTATCCACATTTTTACATCGCTTAGTAGAAAATAATAAGAAATTATTTGTTATTTCAAACAGTTCAGCTGCTTACATGTAAGTCTACATCGTTTAAAACCAATGTACTAAAATTATCCAAAAATATCTCTATAAACATTCTTTCATTTGTCAATTGTACTATCTCAGGCTTCCAAAACGTTCTAACTAATCAATATGTATTGAATCTATTAATGTGTATGTACAAGGTTAGTTAATCATATGGTAAGAAGTCAACCTAGTGAAACACTGTGAGAATGCAAAGACGCATAGTAAGGTAAGAATCCTGTGAAAGTAATACATTATAAACAAGTTTATCAGTAGAGAATAGTTGAACAACAACTTACCTCTATTTGAAGTGGGAGTTAAGATTTCCGTTTAAAATGTCAGTAAAACGTTGGGGATTTTATTATTTAACTCAATATTGACAACATCACTAAAAGCCTCGTATTACCAAATATTTTGTACTAACCACTATCTATAGCTCTAACCTCAGTTTTCGTTTTGTAGCTAGTGAACATCTATGATTTCTTATCGAATATTTCTGTAAAAGTCTCAAGCAGTTGTTTCTTTCCATGATGAGTACGACTTGATTACATTTTTCGCAGAGAAATCACTTTTCTGAATACATAATCACTTTATTGTATATTTAAAAATATTCCATAATAAGCCTATTGAATTTCTAGATATGATTACTAGCAACACGATTAATTAGAAACGTTATTATTGAGCGAATAATAATTTTATTAGTACTGAACAACATGTTTCCTGTTTCTTCTCAAAAGAAGGAATTTCATATAAACTAACATTAACTAACAATATAAATAATTATCTTATCCCCATGGTTATATTCACCTAGCTCTTTATGATTTTGGTTCTCATTGGTATATCACTTTTTTTCATTCATCTAAGGAAACCACACGGCAGCTGTAGCTTAGATTAAGTTTGATCCGTCAAATTATAGACCCTGATGGGAGCATAGTAAGTAAACGTACGCCCCGACATGTTTCTATCCCGTTTCATCTGCTTCAGTTTAAGCAGTCGGATAGTAAAACAAACTTCCACGCTGAATATCTGGCCCATAACTATGTACACTAACCTGTTTTTATAATCAAATTGCTTTATTATTATTGTTTTTATACTGTGTTAGAATGTTTTTTCCGACTATATTTACGTTTTTTTGTTTTATTCACTCACTAATTTATCCTACTTTCATAATTCATAAATAAAGAGACAAGGGTTTAAAATTTTTGGTTGGAAACGACTGGCAAGAATTGTTTGACGTGATTATTTCTAGAGCCAATAAGCCATCGTTCTTTAAATCACCACTGGGGTTAGTCTCACATTTCCTTTTATTCATATGTATCTAATTGTATTGTTTATATTACTTCGTTGCTGTGTTTCGTCCAATTAGGTTTCTAATAAGTAATTTTACTCCACCATCGTTAGTATACCTTACTCTTGTAATGCTTACTAATCCTTGTAATAGAATCAGGGACTTATTGACCAAATATATTTATCTTTATATATTTATCTCAATATAAACAAATTTCAAAAGTACTGTTTTATGTGATGGGATCGCTGGAAGTGTACTAAATATTTTTCAAATCAACTCCATTCACTCATTATACTTTAGAAGTTTCTAAAGTTGCGCCGGTTATTCTTAATATGGTTTTATTGTTTTTAGCTAAGACCTCTTAGTTGTAATTACAAATGTACGTTGGGTTCTTATTTTGTTAAATGTTTCAATGTAGCCTGCATTATTGCTCCTAATGATTTGTTTATGTGCTTTATTTAGTGTCACTTTAAACTTTATGTCAAGTATACATCATGTAGTCATTTACTTATCCGTATAACGTTTGCTAAGCTGATGTTCTCTCAAAATCCTCTAATTTTGAAAACCTTATTTCTAGTTAGTTGTCGCTGTTTTAGTGGACAAAATTATACTCCTTTTACTACTTAAGTAGTTAAATTTGCTGTGAAAAATTGTTTCAATTATTCTATATTTCCTGATTATTATGTAAATAAATTTTGTAGAACAAACACAAATTGCTTTCTCTGATAATAAATTTCTCTGTATTGAAACCCAGAGATTCAATCTAGTGTAAATCGATTGTTAATAGGCTAATCACCATCAAGATTCATCAATGGCAACTTGTCTTGCATGAACAATCGTGACTGTAATTTAGGTTCGTCATTAACAGTGAAACTAATGTAATTCACGGTTAAATATATGTTAATACATTTGATTTATTGATTAAAGACGAGAAAATCGGTAATAACTATATCATAGGACCTACTGATATGTTGACCGTATTGAAAGTTAGATTAGAAATACCACCCCTGTAAATTGATTAGAAAAGATCTGATTGATACCACCTTGAAGTATATATATTTTTTCTCACAATAAAACAAATGACAAAGCTGTGAAATGCAGATGCCTTACCAGACCACTCAATGTAATCTTTTAGGCAGAAGGATAAGTGATCTTTTTTAACCAACTGAAACTACCCTCCCCTCAAGATTAGAGCCCACATATTCATCCCAATAATCATGATAAAAATGTAGTAATACCCATCCGTTATAAGTGTTTTCGTTCGACAAATGCAACTTACTACACTCTTAATCTTATTCCTCTGTCAAGTTGGCTTATCCAGATGTTAGGAGGCGCCTTTAGGTAACCGGACCGGGCCACAGGTGAGAACGTATTCTTGAAATAGGGATTTGCAGTCGGATACTACAAAACAAACGAACTCTTTTGTGTTAATCTTAAGATAAGAACTTATAATTGTTCTTCCACAGTAATTTGGAGTTGCATAACTCAAAACTATTTGAGATTATAGTGAAGAACTGTCTACTGCATTTCCCTTAAACTCCTAATCCGGTTAAATGGAATTATCAGCTAAATTCACGATCAACAATTTTTTTGAGTTTTGTTTTGATCTCAATATAATACATTTGAATCCTAGTTTAGAAGGTCTGATAACGGACTGTCTGTGAAATTTCCAAAATGAGATGAGGGTTGATCAATGCTTATTCTCGTTCAGTGATTAAATACAATAGAACGTGAAAATTTCTACAGTTCTCGATCAAAATTTCTAAAAGTTTCAAGCGAACTGTAAAACAAAAGATCGGAGGACAAACTTATGATGAAAATCCGTGCATTTCTTTGGAAAAAAGTCAGTCTGTTGTATAGAATAAAAGAAACCCAGTTAGATAGAACAATAAGACTTATCTGGTAGTAATAATAATAACAATACTTACAATTCAAGCTCATTATAACTCATTCGCTTTTGTCTCTGGCTTAGCATATAGTTTAGACATAAGTGGTATGTAATTTCAACTATTTATTTTTCTCGATCGATTAAATAATTGAACAATTCAAGTCAAAAATATCGGTAAAACTTTTCACTTTCTAATTTCAATACTTTTCAAATAAAGCGTGTTTTCTTTGTTATTTTTATACAAACTGAAATTAATTGATCGTGATTAATATAAACAAACATGATTTACTGAATAACAGCAATTCATTCTATTTAAAGGCCTCTCATTAACTGAGAACGGTGTAAGTATGCTTTAGTGATATTATTATTTAACATTAACATGCTGTAATCAATACAATTTGAAATGTTCACATTAAAATTGTAATCATTCCGACAATAGTGTATTTGTAATTATGAATGAACTAATTCTTCAGGATTGGTAATGTGTAAGATGATAATTTCTTTCAACTGAGAATACATAAATATATATATATTAACCACATATAAATATCTATAATTGAAAACATACACCGGTTAACTTTGAAAGGAAAATTCCCTCTGTAATCATCATCTAACTTTAGACCCTATCGTATCTGTGAAGTGATACCTGGTTATTTGTCATAGTATTCCTCATATTAATGTGCATTATTTTTGGGAAACAAATTCTATTGATTGATACATGAACACATATCGCTTAGCTTTTTCATTTCGTAATTCAACATCTTATAAATATTATGTCATAACTTCAATTCCATAACTTTTAGGTTATTTTTCAACATTTTGTAGGCAATTTCGACGTACTGATATCAGTGGGACTTTCAAAGATTGGGAAGCAGTTCAAACATTTAAACGAGGTCAAATATATGAAGGAGTATGTCTTTGATTACTTCTGTAATATTTTCACCATAATGACAATAATAATAAGATTCTGAATATTCATTTCCCTGGGCATGATTGCAGCAAATGTTTCTCGACACAAAATATGTTAAGTGATTATAAAGATGTAATGGTAACACGTAAGTACATGCAGTTAATAGGAGTTCTATAGCAATAAGTTCACGTTTGGAAAAATAGCGGTCTAAAATTTTAGACAGACCCTGATGTGTTTTTTCAAATAATAATCGATGTTGATCAAATTTATCGGTTTACAGTGAACAGAATACAATATTTAAATCGAATGCGAAGTAAATCTTTATTTCTGTTATCTTAACTCCCTTAATTTTATCATACTTTATCTCATTTTGCCATATGACACTGTCATGAGTGTTAAAAGAATGATCACAGTCATACTTTTACATTAAATAATTGGTCATTATTGTTCAAATGATTAATACTGATCAATATTTAGGTATTTATAATGATTTCCATGTAATTTTGTTTTATGCATTTTGTGTCAAATAAATTTTGCAAGATACACACCTAAGATTATTGGTTGGTGTTTGACGAAATCTCAGCACGGATTCAAAAAGCTCGTTTGGTTTTTGCCAACTTACGTCACCTATGGCGAAGACGAGATATCCGTCTATCAATTAAGGGACGAGTATACTGCGCATCAGTTCGCTCTGTTCTACTTTACGGCTGTGAAACATGGCCATTAAGAGTAGAAGATACTCGTAGGTTACTAGTATTTGACCACAGATGCCTTAGAAATATTGCTCGCATCTTCTGGGATAACCGGGTAAGTAATAGTGAGGTTAGACGCAGGGTATTAGGGAATGATGGTAAATCAGTTGATGAGGTGATGAATCTTCATCGACTGAGATGGTTGGGTCACGTGTTACGTATGCCTGAACATCGATTACCACGACGCGCAATGTTGACTAGTGTAGGGGATGGTTGGAAGAGAGTTAGGGGCGGCCAAACCAAAACATGGCATCAGTGCTTGAAGTCACTAACTTCTAGCCTGATCCATGTTTGTAGATGCAGACTACCTGGTTGGGGTCCACGTGACTATCGTAACCAATGGTTGGAGACTCTAGGTGACATGGCTCAGAGTCGATCACAATGGCGTAGGTGCATACACTCTTTATCTTCCCTTAAACCTTCAGATTAAAATTGCTTCATAACGTTCTTCCTTCCTATACTATATCCTTATATACAACCTTTCTTTATATACTACCACCACTAAATTAACTATTTCTATGAATCCGGTGTTCATCTTGTTGTGCTAACGAGGTATGGCAACTTGGACCGATGTATATGTGTGCCTGGTCCTACGTTGTCGCTGACTGACTGAAGATTATTCAACGTCCAATAAACCCAACACTACAGATATATGTCAAGCTCCTCTCGATTATGATATTGCTTGCGTTTCAATGAGTCAAGTAATTCACAACGCGTTTGTAAAGAGAGATTTCATTAGATCCCTTTTCGAAATTGTACGCCTGTTGAATTTGGACCCCTTGTTATTAATAACGTATCAAAGGATCTATGTAAAAGTCCACTGTAATAATATTCCGAGGAACGACGTTTAACTGGCTTCCAAGCTTAAACATGTGAAATTGTTTGATTAGGTGGTTTACTTTTGGCTAATACGAAACAATGGATTGTCTTTAAATATGGTATAACGGATGGTTTAAAATATTTTTTTCTCTCACGTATTCTACGGTAATACGTTAATGAGACTAGTCACGTTATATCGAATCCAAGATTCACGACGCAGAGTAAAGAACCAGATAATACTTTATCCGACACAACTACAAACAGTCATTCTTAGTGACTCTGGAGTAGAAATGAATGAGGAGAGGAAATCACATTTCATATTTAGTGGGTTGTGTCTGTTTGTCCATGCTCAATGACCAACTATACTTTAATTTCACTATAACTGAGTACTCCAAGGTGGCGGTATATTAAATAAGTGATTCAAATCATTTTGATTTGTTGAGTTTAACGAAACTATTTTTTACCTTCAAATTCTATCTAAGATTTGATTTTAATGCTTGTATTCCTATTTTTCTAGGGTTGTTTAGAAGAGATGATAAAACTTACAGGTTGGTCTTCAGCTAGTATATTATATTTCGGAGATCATGTCTATGCTGATCTTGCAGTAAGATTTGTTGAAATTAGTCGAGTTAATTTAATCAACTTCGTATGCAGAATAATATTGTAATTCTATTTATTTATGTATTAATTATGATGAAATGACGAAATTATTATTGTATACTTTAGACTAAACAATTATTTGTTCATTAATTAATCCATCACTTTTATAGTTAGTGTCAATAATGTATTGTATATTATGATATGTTAAATTTTCACATGACCTCATTCCACAATACACGTTTATAAACTATAAGATCGAATACTTTTTAATTTTATTACTTAAATTTTGAGAGAACGATATGAAGCAGAATTGATCTGCAGTGTGCTTTATTCGCGCTACGCATTTTGAACAACCTGGTCACACATTCACTTGTCAAAGCATTTTATACACAAATTAAATAAGAGTTCAAAAAAACAATTATTATAAGGTTGTGGAGATTGTTGAGTTTTTATTGAGACCATCAACTGATCAGTATTATACCGCCCTTTAAAACCTAAAAGCATTGGACGGCTGCTTTGTCTTATTATGGGACTTCACAGCAGTGCTTACTCACGATCCCGCACGCGGTGGGACTCGAACCCAGGACCTGTGGTCTAGCGCAAACGCCTGGCCTCTAGACCACTGAGTCGACATCCAAAGATGTTAATGTCTAACTTCAACTAATCCACGAAATCACGCTATCATCTCCCATTGTCTTTAGTGGATAACTGCCCCACGCTCGATACAGTTGAACTCCACTGGTCATGTCTTCTCACTAGAACTCTGAGAATTAACTCTCGAATCTAGGTACCAGTGAGGACATAATAATTATCAGCATAGAGGTGTGGAGATTGTCGGGTTTATTTTGAAATCATGAACTGATCAATGTTAGATTAACAGATCTATGCTTATACTATTTTATCAAATGATATCATTTTTACTTCTGTATTCTGTATAGAATTTATATTTCACATTAATAGCTTTTCATATATCAAGTTTAATTAGTATAAGAGTTCCTTCTATTAAAATAAGTTATCCTCATTTTTTATTCTTATATAATAAATAGTCACGATTAGCTTAATCGTATCTATAAGGTAACTTGCGTTGTTTTACCAGTTTCAGAACAACCTATTATCAATTTTTTCAATATTCAACCAGTTGTAATTTTTATGTATGTTTTTTGTTTATTTTTCTAAACTTATTATAAACTTATAATGTTCTTGTTAGGAAAGAGACAAATATATATGATGCCGTAAGGAATTATATTTCTCGGTTAATTCAGCTCATTTATTGATTCTGTAAGATTGCTCATACACATTTGATGATTGATTAATCAAACATTAAAAATGATATATAATTCATTTTTACCACTATTCCGGATATTGTTTAATTAGTGGCTGGTGAATATACCAATTTGCGTCTTCAGTCTTGTTTTCTTCTTTTTGTCAACAAAGTAGTCTCATTCCGTCACAATAAGTGGCAGGCAGAAGTATTTCTCAGTTTTAGTAAACATCCTTAATAATAACAGAAATCATTATTTACCCTAAGTTACACATAACCTTGTCAAATCAATGTATTTCAAGACATTACAGTTATCATCAAATATCGCTGAAAATGTCACTTTACTTGTCAATTAAAATAGATTTCTTTTTTTATTTACTTGAATAAATAATTAATCATTATAAAATTGTCTCAAGTTTTTTCTTACAGTAGTTCACAAAACTCTCCCATTTACTTGAATGTATGTAGTATCATAGATTATCCATTAATGATAAATTAAAGTGAGCATATAAATAACAAATTTTTTTTCAAAAATTAGTAACCCTTCATAATTATTATTACCGTTAGTAGTGTAATGTTCACTTTTTTGTAGCCTTCAGTATTACACTGTATTCAGTGCTTTCATTTATTCATTGTATCACTTTATTTATGATAGCTCTTCAACTCTGTGGGTTTGAATTTTTACTGTGGTACTACAGAAACTAATAACCGGGTTGTGAGGGATATAGATCAGTCTTGGATTAACTATGAATGACCTGAGTTTTCACATATTTATCAGATTTTCGTTTTCGTATGCCTCAGTGAGGTATCTATTCCATAGACTTTATCTGCCATAAAAATACACGTATAGTATACGTCTAACCGATGACTGATAAACAAATAGTTTTTTCAGGTCCATGTAAAAATTTAAAATCTTTCTCTAATCCATCGCAAAGAAAAGTGTTCGCATTACTCTACTAAAGGATGCCAAATCCGACAATTTTTAGGCGGAAACTAGAAATGACCAGGTTTATTGGCGCGCAAAGAATGATTTTATTTAGTCTTTAATGTTGAGTGAATGATTGCGTCATATATCACATCGGATTTACCAGTTAACGTATGTGTATGATCTATGAACAATAGAGTAGTCTACCTATACAGTTAAGAGTGGTGAAATATATGTGGTGGAATGGATGAGAACTCAAATACGTCCAGAGTATTTACAACCATTGTCCTCCATCGATGAAGTATATAACTGGAACAAAATATAGGATTACTCTAAAGCAGATTTCAATACCTAAATAAAACTTGTTAAAAAGTTTTTATTCAGTTTCTAGAAGTTCTATTTATTAGAAAGTTCATTCTTCTTTTATGTTTCGAAACAACAGTTTGTACTCTCATCGAACTTCCCGTGATTATCCTTAACCATTGTTTGATGTCAAGTCTGACACCAATATTTGATATTTCTGTTTTTTTTTTTATTTTTATACTATCTCTTGCGATCGTTTATATTTTTACCCATCATTGTTAATTAATTTGACTTCTCCCTATATTTATGTAAATTCCCTTGAAAGGTAAGTTCATGATCCTGATTTATTCGTAATGCCTCGCTCAAGAACATCACATTTTCTCCAAATCAACTTTGTCTTCTTATTATGCTACCTTTTTTCTATGGGAGTGTAGTCTAAATTAAATTTGCTCTTACATAATTTCCAATTATGGACCAGTTTATTATTTATTTTATTTATTTAAACACATATATATTGGTACAAAAGGGCACCAGGTACATATGCGCCACACAAAATAATGAAAGTAGGAAGAGAAGGGATGAAAAGATAAGGCGGACTAAAATGTACAACCAGAAGACTCTTTCAAATAGGAAAGTAAGAACCATACTTTATGTAGAAAGTAAAAGAAGGTTGCAGCAGGATCGCCACTGGTTTCTATTCTGAGCCATATCTGATAACGTCTCTAGCCACTGTGTTGCACCATCTCTCGGACCCCAACCAAGGAGTCGTGAAGGACCAACAGAAGCTAGCCCTTTGCAGCTCTCTTTCATGCCACGACACCATGTCATACACTGACCTCCTCTCCGCTTTTTCCAACCAGTCCCAGGGTCGGCAAATAATGCACGACGTGGAAGTCTCTGGGACGACATTCGTAAAACATGTCCAAGCCACCGAAGTCGGTGTTTCAAGATGGTGACACCAATTGAATTATCGTCTCTGTGCCCGAACACACGATGCCGAACCTCTGCATTACTAACATGGTGTTGCCACTGGATGTCAGCAATCCTTCGGAGACAACGATGATCGAACACAGAGAGACGTCTAACATCCTCAACTCGGAGAGGCTAGGTTTCACAAGCATAGAGCAAAACTGCTCTCACCGACGCGTTGTAAATCCGACTTTTTACAGCCAGACTAACATCACGAAGGCGCCAAAGATGGCCCAGATTGGCATAAGCCGATCTGGCTTTCCTTATACGTGCATCAATCTCATCACTCACGCCACCACCAGCACTTATATAGCTACCTAGATACACGAACTTCTCAACTACTTCGATCTGCTCACCATCCAGGGTGAGTACAGGATTAGAATCCTGCCAGTGTTGTAGGAGTACTTTGCACTTGGAGGGTGCAAAGCACATGCCGTACCTACTGACAGTGAATACCAACTGATTAAGTGCTGATTGCATGCCTTGGGCATTATCGCACAGTAAGACAATATCATCCGCATACTCAAGGTCGAGAAGTCGTTCTCCAGGCAACATATCCACACCGCCATTACTTACATCCATCAGAGCTGTTTCCAAGATGTCGTCGATGGCAAAGTTGAAGAGGAATAGTGAGATCGGGCAACCCTGCCTAACCCCACTGCTCGAATGGAACAAGGGAGAAAGGTGGTTGTATGCCCTCACTCTGCCTGAGGTGTTCGTGTACAGGGCCTTTAAGATGTTAATGAACTTCTCAGGCACACCCTTCTTCAATAGACAATCCCAGAGAACAGTCCTGTCCAACGAATCGAAGGCAGCCCTGATATCAAGAAACACTACGATTGTTGGCCTGCGATAAGTATGACGGTGTTCTAACATTTGGCGGAGGGTGAAGATGTGATCAATGCATCCTCGACCAGAACGAAAACCAGCCTGCTCCTCGCGAGTCAATCGTTCTCGGGTTTTAAACAACCTACGAAGAATGATAGAAGCCAATAGTTTGGACGCAATCGGAAGTAGACTTATCCCCCGATAGTTATTGCAGGAACAACGTGAACCCTTTTTAAAGATAGGGACGACTATTGACTCATTCCATGATGTTGGAACACTTTCTTGCTCCCAAACCTTTCCAAACAACACACACAAATGAATGAAATGACGAATTGACTGAATTATGGACCAGTACCTAATTTCAGCTTTATATTAGATGAAGTCATACAATAAATAATGTTATTCATGTTTGCGTTTGTAGTTTTTATTTTCAATTAATCTTTACTAACCTCAATCGCAGAACGAATAATTCAGTGGTAAAAATGAAGTAAAATTTTCTTTTCTGACAAATAATGTATTACTCCATAAAAGCATGTTGGTAATTAAATCAATTATGTTGTTATTTTATTAGGATGTGGCCAGTACATATGGTTGGATGACTGGAGCTGTTATACCGGAACTTGAAAGTGAACTTATTGCTGCCAATAATCTTGATTTCAAAATTAATTTAAAACGTTTAAGAATGCTAGAAAAATTGATTCAGGAAAACCAAGTAAATCTGATTTGAATAATTATATTAACTTAATTTTGTTG